GACACATCATCAGAATACTCCAGGACTTCACTGAAGTCCTTCTCAGACCACGACTATCCAAAACAGAAGAGGTGTGAAGTTCAACACCCACCCCTCCCACACATGTCAGCTACTATACAACATCTGATATAGTTTCATTATGCAAAACAGAAGTGTGGTGACAAGGGCATGGGAGGAAGATTGAAGGCAAACTCTGCATCATCCTGAAGGCACAGTGGAACCCTCAGAGAAAGTTGTATCAACACAAATCTAGAACCTAATATTAATTAGCAGCATTTCTTGAGGGAAAAATATATGCATAACAGGGTAGGCTTGTCCCTCTTTACCATTGATAGTGTGTCATAGAGGCCTTGTGGAATGAACTGATCAACCATAGCTAATAAAAGCCCATTATGATATAATCACAAAGATTTTTCCATCACTGTAACATTGAGTGTCGCAATATCCGATGATCAGCAATGACATCCCCCCCTTCACCCTGCAAATGTTCTGAAACCTTGCCATCCTCATATACGAAATATAACCCAGTCTGCTTTCTACTTCTTTCTAATGAAAACTGCTGAATATTTTGATTGCAGTTGGGATTCTCAAGTACCTGGCTTCATCTTCAGCGACATGTTCATTCAGATTTCAACTCGCCTCCCTTCGCAGTACGTGTATGGGTTTGGTGAAACAGAGCATGCTCACTTCCGACATGAGATGGACTGGCATACTTGGGGGATGTTTGCAAGGGACCAGTCTCCCGGGGTGAGTTCATTCTTTTACCATCTTCATTACAACGTCCAGCTAAAAAGATCAGGATGTGTTGAATCTGGACTGAATTAGTTGGACTTGCGTCCAAATAATTAGGCCGCAGTCCACCAGCTCCTTACACCAGGCTGGGATGCAAGGCAGTGAATGGAATGGAAGCATTCTTCCGCTTGCTTTTGCCAGCTCAGCTGCCAAACATGCACAGAGTCTCCAACCAGGGCACTCTGAGGAGGAAGGTGGTGTTGAGGTGATGCCCTGGGATTGGCTAAATCCCAAGCCACTCTTTAAGCTGGTGCTGCCTGACATCGGTCCAATTTGGACCCAGTCGCTGTGCTGGTGTACTCCCAGAGAAAGGCAACATTTTCTATAAAAATAATACCAAAGGGAAATTATTATGATTGTTATTATTATTATTATTTCTATATACCTGCCTTGTGGATGTTACAGCCACTACTAATGGTGAGTCCCACCCCTCACAATTTCTTCTGCCAGTGGTTAATCTAGAGAGGCACATGGCTCTGGTAGTAATAGATAGATAGATAGATAGATAGATAGATAGATAAATTTATTGTCATTGTCCGTATATACACAGTATACACAACAACGAAAATCAAACACCCACCCAAAGACCGGGTTCACATACACATTTGCACGTATCTCCAACACTCTCATCCTATTCAGACATAATCTATAAAAACATAACATAATCCAGAATATAACATAACCTATTAAAGGCATAACATAACCTAAAACCTATCTCATTCCTTCCTACTCCCTGCTTGCTATTTCTTGCAACTGGCCCTGAGATCATTATTTAGTGCAATCAGAGCTCTTGGATAGAAACTATTCAGAAGGCGTGTGGTTCGTGTTTTCATTGTCCTATATCTTCTGCCCGAAGGCAACAGTTCAAAGAAGTTGTGAGCGGGATGGGTGGGATCTCTCAGGATATTGTGTGACTTCTTCAAAGTGCGAGACGTAAAGATCTCATCCAGGGTTGGTAGTTGGAGCCCAATAACATTCTGGGCAATTTTAATTATTCTCTGTAAAGCTTTTTTATCCGTTTCAGAGCTGCTCCCATACCACGATAATATACTATAGGTTAAGACACTCTCGATGGTACTGTGATAATAGGACAGAAGTAGGTGCTGAGATAGATTCAGTCCCCTGAGCATTCTCAGGAAATACAACCTCCCCTGCACCTTCCTCACAACCATATTAATATTTGCAGTCCATGAGAGGTCCTCAGAGATATAAATGCCCAGGTATTTAAAACTACCAACCCTCTCCACCTCCTCGCCATTTATGTGCAATGGTAAAAATACACTTTTCTTTCTCCTAAAGTCAATTATGAGTTCTTTGGTTTTTTTGGTGTTAAGCATAAGATTGTTTTCCTTACACCATTGAATTAACCCCTGTACTTCTTTCCTATAAGCAGTCTCATCGTTCTCACTAATGAGCCCCACCACTGTTGTATCATCCGCAAATTTGATGATTGTGTTGGACTTATACAGTGGGATGCAATCAAATGTGTACAGGGAATAGAGAAAGGGACTTAGCACACATCCCTGAGGGGCTCCTGTGCTTAATACTAGAGTAGAAGAATAGTAAGGTCCCATTCTCACTGTCTGCGGCCTATCAGTCAGGAAATTCCTTACCCACAGACAGATCTTCTGATGTATACCCAAATTGGTCATTTTAAGAAATAACCTGTCTGGCAGAATTGTATTGAAGGCAGAACTGTAGTCCACAAACAACAGCCTTGCGTAGGTTCCCTGTCGTTCTAGATGACTCAATACAGTATGGACAGCGATGGAAATAGCATCATCAGTAGATCTGTTTCTTCTGTATGCAAACTGGAACGGGTCTAGAGTGGATGGAAGACCAGCCTTAATATGTTCTAGCACCAATCTCTCAAAACATTTCATAACGACAGATGTTAGGGCTATTGGTCTATAGTCATTGAGAGATACCACCACTGACTGCTTGGGGACTGGCACTATAATCGATGTCTTCAGGCAGGTAGGGACAGAACCCTGCAACAGGGATAGGTTAAAAATGTCCGTAAATACACCAGCTAATTCTGCAGCGCAGTCCCTAATAACCCGTCCCATGATTCCATCCGGTCCAGCTGCCTTCCTAATGTTAATGCTCCGAAAGGCACGTTGTACGTCACAGGTCTGTAATAAAAATGGTTGTCTATCAGTAGTAGTTTCTGATGATGTGCTGGTAGCCAATGCTGTAGTGACGGTAGTTCCAGTTCCCTCCTCAAAGCGACTAAAAAATTGATTCAGTTGATCAGCCAGGTGCGCACTGCTGCTAGCCAGTTCGTTTTTAATATTTTGCCCTGTAATTTGTCGCAAGCCTTGCCATACTCGACGAGGGTCGGAGCTCTCAAAATGTTTTTCGATCCTCCGGCAGTACATAGCTTTGGCGTTCCTAATGCCCTTTTTCAATTTAGCTCTGGCTTCTCTATACTGTTGCGCATCACCAGAGTGAAAAGCAGCATTTCTTGCCTTTAACAGAAGATACACATCCCTGTTTAGCCAGGGCTTGTTGTTAGGGAACACCCGTATTTGTTTGGTGGTAGTGACAACATCAATGCAGCTTTTAACATAGAACAGTACTGTTGAAGCGTATGTATCCACATTATTCTCCACAAAAAGCGACCACTCGGTGCTCCGAAAGCAATCTTGAAGTTGCTCAGATGCACCTACTGGCCACACTCGTATCTCTCTAGTTGATGGTCTAATTCTGCGTACGAGAGGTCTATATGATGGTATCATAAGTAAAGATATGTGGTCTGACTGCCCCAAATTGGGCAAGGGCTTGGTCTTGTATCCATGCATGATGTTACTATATACTCGGTCCAGGGTATTTCCCCCCCTAGTGGGACAATCAACATACTGGTGGAACTTAGGGAGCACAGTCCTTAAATCGGCTCGGTTAAAATCACCAGCAACCACAAATGCTCCATCCGGGTGGGCCCGCTGCTGTCTGCTAATAGCAGTTAGCAGGTGGCCCATAGCTGTAGTAGTGTTTGCATCGGGAGGTATATACACTGCTGTTATTATAACAACATTAAAAACAAGAAATCTAGCATCAACAGAAGTTTACATCAGTCCCAGGTGCTTAGAATGCACCGTGAGCCCCGACAGAACCTTGGATGTGTGTGTACTTGAGCTGTATGAATGTTAGAGAGCACTACAGCTCAATCTTAGTATACATTGCACACACAGATGTACCCCCACACTTTATCCCCTCTCCCCTGGCCCCTAAAAATTAAACGTTTTAAGAAACTTTCATTTTATATGTATTTTTATGATAGTTTTCTGCTTGAATGATCTCAGCTCATGGCAAACTGAAGGCAGAATATGAGAAAAAATTGGGAAATTAATATTTACCTTGTTGTGATCTTGAAATGTGTAACCCTTGCTGACATGTGTAGAAGCATGCTGGGGAGAAAATCAATTGGCCAAGGCGCTTGCTCACAGCATGTTATTTTCCCTCCACGATTACAGTACAAGCTTAATACTTATGGAGTTCACCCCTTTTACATGGGCCTAGAAAATGATGGAAATGCTCACGGAGTTCTCTTGCTGAACAGCAATGGAATGGGTAAGTCGTCCTTCATTTTTCTGAAAACTTTGCATTTCTGAATGACCGTTTCTCTCAGGTTGACAGGTGTATGGCCTGTGAGCCATGCCAGTCCCTGACCTGACTTTTACAGTCCTTTTCCCCCATGCTGGAATGAGATCTTGAGTTGGTGCCTCTTATTTGGCAAGCGCCCTGCCTGTTTACATATTGGCAGCAGGGCTGGTGGAGACAGTGGCAGAGCCGATCTGAAACCCCTTCCACTGTGCCCACGCTGCACTGAACTCCTTGATATTGGTTATAGAGAGCTCAACCTTTCGGTTTCAGAAAGCAAGGGCACCAACAGCTCAAAGGTTGGTGCAACATCCCTATTTCAAGTTAAGTGGGTCTCCTGTGACTTGGTCAGGAAACCGTATTAGCGAACACAAAGGTTATTTGTGGAAGTCGCAGGCTAATTCTTAACCGGCAGGTGCCCCTACCTTAAGAAATGAGAGATTGGCTCATTCACTGAGAATTCTAGGGAGTTTTCATTTATCAATGGGAATGCCCTTGGGGCCCAAGTTATTTTTAGCCAGCCTGCTGGAGCAGGTGGGGAAGAGGGTTATTTTGGCAATTACTGGTCATTTTGATAGTTTCGTTTCCTGTTTATGAATTTCCAGAGGTAAAGCTCCAGCCAACTCCTGCTTTGACTTACCGTACTATTGGAGGGATCTTGGACTTCTATGTAGTTTTGGGACCAACTCCAGAACAAGTGGTTCAGGAATACACTGCAGTAAGTGGTTCAGTTATACATCTGAAACTATCTTACAAAGCCTATACTAAAGATACTATCATTTTGCTTTTTTTTTTTTTTTGCCAGAATAAGGTAACGCAAATATCATGTATTTAATTTTCTTATTTCTAGCTCATTGGACGTCCAGTCATGCCACCATACTGGAGTCTGGGATTCCAATTGTGCCGCTATGGATATGGAAATGACACAGAAATCTCCGATCTTTATGATGCAATGAGAGCAGCTAAGATACCCTATGTAAGTTGTGTGTAGACATGACCATTCATTCATTCTGTTTTAATCCTGCCCTTTTGCTCAGGGCACTAGGTTCCTTCCCCTACCTGTTGTTGCCTCAGCAACCATATGAATTAGGTTAAGCTGAGAGATAATGGCTAGGTTAAAGTTATCCAGCAAACTGCATGATAAGCAGGTATGTAAATTGGGACTCTTCATGGTGAGTGTCAGTGGTGATAGTCCATAGAATATTTATTTGACCAATCATAGGAATTGGGAAAATGTACATTTAGGTTGTGACTCTTAAGATAGAGTCAGCATTTCTATATATGAAAAAATTAAGGTGCCTTAGAATAGTTAGCAATGAAGCTGACAAAATGGAGGACTACCCTGGATTCACTCCTGAGTCAAGGCAAGACCTGGTGTGAGATTAAGTGTCAAAGAACTACTTGAGAACAATGGCCACAATGCTATGCAATTCTACAAGGTGTGACTGGAAAGTTCAGTGAATGGTCACAGAAATCTGACAGTGAGAAATATTCGAACATACAGGCCTTCAAAGCAGGCCCCCCTCTGATACAATGCACCATTGACAACGTTTGTAGAACTGTTGGAAACTTCTGGAGAAGTCCTCTTTTCATACTGCTTTCAGTTCCCCTGTCACAGCAGCTTGGACATGTGAAATGTTGGGAAATCTGTGCCCTTTCAGTGTAGATTTCAGTTTTAGAAAAAGAAAGAAATCTGGTGGGCCCAGATTGAGAGAAAACAGAGGGTGGGACAGCTCAGTAACCTCAGTAATGATTTCACATGGAATATGCAATTCTTCTGCCATCATTCGGACGGACAAACACACATCCCACATGAAAAGCTCACGAACTCTGTCAACATTTGCCACCATTCTGCTCATTAACAGTCTGCCAGACTGAAGGTCATCTTCGATGGTTTGTTGCCCTTCATGGAAATGCTTAAAACTCTCATATCCTGTTTTTTGAGTTAGGGCTTCATCTCCGTACACAATTGTGAGCATTTCGTGGGTTTCTGATGCCGATTGTATGTTTGAATATTTCTCACTGTACGATTTCTGTGACCATTCACCAAACTTTCCGGTTACACCTTGTATATATTTAAGTGAAAAGTTTCCCAGAGGGAACAAGATGGTTGCGACTGATTTCAAACAGGAAAAATCTCAAAAATGAGAGGAGTAGTTAAAAGGGAATTGAAAAAGAGATAAAAGTACACTTTCAAAGTGTTGGTGAACATGTCACCTAGCAAACTGTATTAAAACTGAAGAGAGTTTGTAGTATTGGTGTAGTATTGGAGCTGCTGTTTAAACAACAAAAAGGAAGAAAGAGAGGTGAAAATTTCACTGGATGCTGCAGAGCCACCTTGCTTTGGCCTGTGTGACACTTTGGCTCCTCACCTTTGTCTGTAAATTAGTCATTTAAAACTGTAGATTAAGATCGTTTGATCCTATTCTCCATAGGATGTACAATATGCAGATATTGATTACATGGAACGGCAGCTGGACTTCACTATCGGTCCGGAATTTTCAAAGCTTCCGGCTCTGGTTGACAAAATGAAACTGGATGGAATGCGATTTATCATCATTTTGGTCAGTACATATATTCTGCTCCTGTTTGATCTAATGACTTTAATGTTAGCCTAAGTGGGCTCCTCCACTGTGCCACCCTGAACTCTGACCTGTTTTTTGCTGCGCTGGTAGAGCCTTCCGTTCGAGCGGCTCTTGCGCACCAAGATATCCTAAAAGCTGGCATATTATGAGAACAGGATTGCTCCTTTAATAACCATTATGCCTTTAGTTCTTAAGCCAAAGTTCTTCATTTCAGGATCCAGCCATTTCTGGGAATGAAACCAAGCCTTATCCGCCATTCACAAGAGGGGTTGAGGACGATGTCTTCATTAAATGGCCCAATAGCAGCGATATTGTGTGGGGGAAGGTAATATTTTTTGCATACTATCATTAGCATTAATTCCACGTACAAGTGCCTTAAAATGCCTTAAATGTTCTTTTTTGGGTTAAATTGGGCCTCTGGTCATCTTAGTAAAGGTGGTTTATCTTCCCTATGGTTGCCAGGTTGTGGCAACCATAGTCTACCAGCTGAGAACCTCCTTAGTTTATGTAAAAATAAATAAATTAGAATTTCTTCTTGAAAAGACTATTAGAAGTCATCTGATTTCAGATAATAATTGCTGCTAGCAGTATAATTATGGTCTGGTATTAGCAAATTCCAATGAAGAAGGGTGCATGCTCAAAACAGCCATATGTTGGCATTTTAAGAAAGGAGTAATGAAAGTGAGGAGTGTTGCATCCTTTTATTTATCTCTCCACCATCTCAGTTTTAGAGCAGGATCACGTAACCCTTGATTTTGTTTTAAAAAGAAGGTTACTCGATTGTTATCACTTGATGGATTTCCACTCCACCTTTCTGAGTGAATTGCAGTGGTTCATTTGTAAAGAAAAGTTCCCCAAACCCTGTCATTTCATTATTTCATTATGCTAACCATTTTCAAATAACTTTGCCGTCATAGGTATGGCCTGATTACCCTGGTGTAGTTGTGAATACATCAATATCCTGGGACGAGCAAACAGAGGTAAGTTTGCACTTGTGTCTCTCCTTTAAAAATCCCCAGTAATTGTGAAAACAATGCAGTAGTGCTAAATAATATAATATAATATAATATAATATAATATAATATAATATAATATAATAATTTGTATATCGCCCTTCAGCCATGGATCTCAGGTCCGTTCACAACATAAAAATACAATGTAAAAATACAAAAAACCCACAAACCAGTAACCCTCCTCCCCACATAATAATGAACTAATGACAGCAAGGCTAGCGGGGGAAGAATTTGGTAAGCCCAAGGTAGTTTCAATCCCCCTTCCCCTAAAAAAGCAGTCCATTTGTGCCATAATGCAAAGTGTATTTGGCACCATGGAGAGTGATGCAAGCAATTGTTAGTCATGTTTGAGAAATGAATTCATAAATTATTTTGAGCAAGCACAATTCCTATGCAAAAGTCCCAACAATGCAATCCTGTACTTGTCTACTCAGAAGTAAATCCCATTGAGTTTAATAGGAATTGCTCCCAGTTAAGTGTGTATAGCAGACATGTCCAGCCGGTCATCCGTGTTCTACAGGTAGATACTGGGGGTGCTTCAGGTTGATCACTGGCTTAAGAAAATTGTTCGCCTGTGTGCTCCTGATTGATCGATCGATCTGCGTCTCACCCCTGGTGCTATGTCTCATAAACGTTGCCGTCGTTGCTGTGAAACCTTATATTCCCTGTGTTGTACTCCCTGAAAGCTCAAAGCTCAACAACTCTGGAAAATGCTCCCCCCAAAAAATCTTGAAAACTTTTGGCAATGACAATGGGTAGATCACTGCCAGTTTTATTATTCTGGGAGTAGACTGTAGTCTCCTCAGAGCTGGACGTGCCTGGTGTATAGGATTTCACCCTGAATGGGTCTTTAGACTTTGTCCATAGTGACCATGGAGATGTGTGTGGGCATATTATGTAAAGCAGGGATAGGCATAAGATAAAGCACAGATGTTGGACCACCTTCTGCCTGCTACCCACTTGCTAGTTTTGAAAAGATCTTCTGTTCTTAAGGAAGTATGCAGACCCATGAAATAATAATAATAATAATAATAATAATAATAATAATAATAATAATAATAATAATTTATTTATACCCCACCCATCTAGCTGGGTTTTCCCAGCCACTCTGGGTGGCTTCCAACAAAGATTAAAAATATATTAAAACATCAGTCATTAAAAACTTCCCTAATGCCTAAACTGTTAGGAGAATCTGAAAATGCATTCATAGACCATGAGGAGTCAGATCTCTCAAGACTTGGCAGCCCATCTCCGCTTTTGAAAGTTCTGTGATTCACATGGTGTCAGTCTTTTCCAGCAATGGATCATGCACACTTCTTGCCTATTAGTTACAAATAAGCAATTGTATCTAAGTAATATGTTGTTTTCTTCACATTCTCTATTATTCCAGTTATACAGAGCTTACGTTGCATTCCCAGACTTCTTCCGCAACTCTACAGTGCAGTGGTGGAAAAGAGAAATTCAGGAGTTCCACACCAACCCTACCAATCCAGCAAATAGCATTAAATTTGATGGCATATGGATTGTAAGTCCTGCACCTATTTTAGCATTGTCTGTGTTGTTTTCTACAGCTATGGATGTGGAAAACAGATACTGGAAAAAAGCAACTCATATTTTCAGTGGATTAATGTCTTTTTAGTTTTTTTACACTAACAGTTATGTTTTTATGCAGAGAAAACTATCCAACTTATCTTGAAATGTGCTAGTAATAGAATACGTCTACATTAATGGGTAGATTATGATTATGATGATTTAATTTATTAACCACCTTTCACCCTAAGGTTCCAGGGTGGGTTGCAAACGTTTAAACACGACATTACAATGCAAAATTTAAAGCAATTTACAATTATAGAAATAAGTTGGATCCTAAAAATATACACTTCAAGTGTCAAAGGTCATGGCAAAGAGGTGAGTCCTTGTTACTAAAGGGCTGTCTAGACCATATCAAACATGTGTGTCTACCCATAAATCATCGCTATCGTATTTCTGCATTTGTCTGCTTTCATCTGCTTTGTTATCTTGACCCCGTGAATGTTGTCCATCATTTCAGTGCAAGATGCAAATAAATGTGTATTAGCATTTACCAGAGCCCAGATGCCCAAGGCTTTTGTTATGGGGAAATATATTGACACTGAATTTGCTCCTCAACACAGTACAAGAAATGTTTGGGAGGTGGATGGAGGAAGCCTGTATTTATTTGGATGAAGGATGGGATACAACCTCCCCCCCCAAAAAAAAAATATATATTTTTGCGGGAGTTCTACTAACAACAGGCAGGTACAGAAAAAAATGAAAGAATAAATAGATTTAAAAGAAAAAAGAATAGTCACAACTGTTGATAAAGGAATATAGGATGCAGCTATGAAATTTACTGAGTGAATAATAAAACATTCCAAGAGGAAAAGGATGTGTGGCTTATAATTATAGAGGGTCCCATTTTCTAAATCCAAACAATAGCATTTTAAACAACAACAACAGAAAAAGTAACCTTAAACTGTCCTAAATCCAGACCTTCAGTATTCTTGGACACCTTGAATGGAGAGACATGATGCCTCCTCATATATTTTCATAGTGTAATCAAAGGCTATCAGAAACTCAAAGGATGGTCCATATTGCTTATGTGTTTGGTTTTGTTTTCAATGTAAGGATATGAATGAACCAGCAAATTTTGTCAATGGTGCAGTTGGTGGCTGTGGGAACTCCGAACTAAATTTTCCTGTATATATACCAAGTAAGTGTAATTACTATGCCTACTTTTAGATCACTTGTAATGTTGTTATATACTAGGTGCGTGCTGAGTTTGGGACAAATCATCACCATCATCATTTTTAATTTGTATACTGTCTTTCTTTTTTAAAATACTCAAGGTGGTTTACAAGGTGAAGAAACAAAAAATGTACATCTTATAACAATCTAATGCACTACAAAAATGTAATAATTAAACAAAACTTTAAAATAAGCAACCTACATCAAAAAGTAACATTCAACAATTATTATAATAGTATAAAATAATAATATCAACAAAAAGAAGTTAAACAGAAATCCAATCAACAGTTACAATAAATAATTTCTAAACTATAATCAATAAAACGGCAAGCCACAGTACATAAAATAATGCAATACAAACTGAGAAGCCGAGACTGGAGGGTGGAGCAAGGCAGGTGGAAGAAGCCTTGCCTGATGAAGTCTCTCCCCTCAAAGTTCTTCCTCCAGGCACAGCTTCCTTAAGAGGAGTAATCATGTAATCATGAAGGGGCCACAGTCATACCTTCACCACCCCCACATACATACATACATACATACATACATAGACATATACGCACAACACAAATTCAGAAGAGTCAAATTAATATTTTGTCTACGCCATTCAAATATCATACCTCTGAAGTCTACTCCAAACCAGAAATTTTAATTTTGATATTCCAACATGACTTTATAAATTGATTTTTAAGCATGAAAGCAGAAGATGGGTAAGATTTTGTTTAACCTCTTTCAATGTTTTGTTCTTCATTAGACTTATTAGGAAGAGATGTTGGGCTGAGTAGTAAAACCTTGTGCATGCAGAGCCAACAATTTCTGGCGGATGGAACCCCAGTTCGACACTATGATGTCCACAATCTATATGGCTGGTCACAAACGAAGCCTACATTAGAGTAAGTTACATGTTGTTGTTTTTCCTTTTTGGGCACATTGTTTCCCTGGGGCTTCTCTTACCTTTTAAACAATTCAGTTCTCCATTTACTAGAAACAATTTGTACAAATGATTTACAAAGTTATACACGGCTTATTTTATCTTTTTTTAAAAAAAACAACCATAAAGGTGCTCAACATATTTAAATCTTGTCCTTTCCTTTATTTGTACTTGTTTGAACAAGAAGAAAAAAACCCACCAAAATAATTGAGTTCTTAACTAGTATATACTGTAGGGTATATGTTTCACCAATACACTTGTACCTTGGATCCCGAACGCCCTGGAACTCGGACGTTTTGGCTCCCGAACGCTGCAAACCCGGAAGTGATTGTTCTGGTTTGCGAATGTTCTTTTGGAACCCAAACATCCGATGGGGCTTCCGTGGCTTCTGATTGGCTGCAGGAGCTTCCTGCAGCCAATCAAGAAGCCACGATTTGGTTTTCGAACGTTTTGGAAGTCGAACGAACTTCCGGAACGGATTCTGTTTGACTTCCGTGGTACGACTCTCCCTCACAACTAGCAAGTAAGTGTTTATGGCCGTGTTTCCCTAATTTGGGTCTCCAATTATTTTGGGACTACAGTTCTCATTATCCTTGACCATTGGTCCTGCTAGCTAGGGATGATGGGAGTTGTAGTCCTAAAACAGCTGGAGACCCAAGTTTGGGAAACACAGGCTTATGGTTTACCGCTAGAACACTAAGTAAGTCCCACTGAGCTGAATGGGAGTTACTTCTGAGTAGACATGCATTGGATTACACGATTAGCATTCCTTCAGTGGCCAGAGAACTCTGCAATATCAATAATCTCTTGATGGAACATAGGAAGCTGCCTTAGTCAGAGCAATTGTCTATCTGGCCCAATTCATCTAAACTGACAGGCAGCCATTTTCCAAAGTTTCAGGCAGGGTGTAGTTAACCAATCTAGGAAACATTATGCCATTCGTTGGTATTATGGTGCACAGTATTCTGTGGTAGATTCTGAAGGCTGGTTGCCTTGAAAGTTTATGTTAAAAAGGTTACAATAAGTTTATGAAGAAGGGTCCGATATTGGCCATATTGGTATGCTGTGTACTCCAACTGACCTACAGTCAGATGAAAATCCAGGGAAGTGGCAGTGGGGTTGAGGTGGGGAAAACATTTTTACATGCTAGGGCTGTAATTTGTCACTCCCCTCCCACTTTCCATCACCAGTGATGTGGATGTCGTCCAAGATCTCCAGTTCATGTTAGCAAGCACCATGGCAGTGCATGCGCAATGTATCTGTAGATGCTGTGTGCCATGGGAACAGCCTGAATAGCCTTTTAAGCATCAAGTTTCATTGTCTTGTTTCTAAGACTGCAAGTACATTGGGGCACGATATTAAGAGACCTGATTCCTCACTTAGCTGGGAGCAAATTATTTGTACGCATATTCTAATAACCAGATTATGTTGTGCAAACTTAATTGTTGACCTGGTTTGTGAAACACAAATGGCCAGCTTAGTGGTTTAATATGGATGTTTAATTACATCCTGCCAAAGACTCTTGTTTCCGTGCATTCAGATGCAACACAGGGAACATATAAATGGGATTCCTCTTATGAGGGGTATTCAAAGACCATCTTGAGACAGTCCTATGTGATGCAGATGCAGAAAGTTCCGGCAACTGTAATAAAGACTGCTCTGCCATTCACTGATGTCACAAAGCAGTTTTCAGCATTTTTGATAGGCCATTAAGACTAGCATAAGAAATTAAAGTTGAAAATAACCCCTTGCTCCAAGCCTCATATGTGATGGACTACTTTAATTAAAAAGCTTGTATTTGTTTGGCTAGGATTCCACGTAGGCTACACTGAATGATTATTTTAAATTAAGTGTTCTGTATACCCATTCTTAAATTAATAACCTTAACAATTCACTTTTTAAAAAGTAAATGTTAAAGAGGGGCAAGAGGGTGCATATTATGTAAAGAAAATGGGCAAGACTTGCTCTTCAACAATTTATTTCTTCAGCTCCGAGGCAACTTTATTACATGCTAATTCCTTATTGAGTTATATTCTCTTTTAGATAATCTCCGATCTAATGGTAATATTTCTAGGTTGTTTCCTTTCCAATTCAATGAGCAAGCAAAGAACAACATCCCCTCCCCTTAAACACTCCATGGACCTTAATGACCTTGGAGCCCTTGATACGTTTGATATTACTATGGAGAAAGTGGGGTGGGGGAAGTAGAGGCCAGGAGACCACCTTTAAAAAAACAACAACAAAACCCTGAGTACACGTTATACGTGGCAGGCTCTTGGCATTTTGCTGTCACACATGACACTTGCAAAACTGCTGAATGGACATGGGTGAGTGGATTCACATTCTCTAGTATCAGGTAGACTAAAGTATGATTTGAACATTATCAGCAGGCAATAACTCAGCACTCTGGATTATGGTATCTTTAAAACTGTAAATAATGCATTAAAAATTGCTTTCTTCTGTAGAGAAGACACTGCTAAGCCAAGTATTGCTTTGAAACTATTTACCGGTTTCATTCAAAATATACAAACTTATGAAGGGATAGCTATCCACTAAATGAGGGACATGGGTGGCGCTGTGGGTTAAACCACAGAGCCTAGGGCTTGCCGATCAGAAGGTTGGCAGTTCAAATCCCTGCGACGGGGTGAGCTCCCATTGTTCAGTCCCTGCTCCTGCCAACCTAACAGTTCGAAAGCACGTCAAAGTGCAAGTAGATAAATAGGTACCGCGCCGGGGGGAAGGTAAACAGTGTTTCCGTGCGCTGCTCTGGTTCGCCAGAAGCGGCTTAGTCATGCTGGCCACATGACCCGGAAGCTGCACGCCGGCTCCCTCGGCCAATAAAGTGAGATGAGCGCGCAACCCCAGAGTCGGGCACGACTGGACCTAATGGTCAGGGGTCCCTTTACCTATCCACTAAATGTGGCTGAGCCAAGACAGCCTGGTTTATTATTGGTTTCACTTTTGTTATTATCAATAACTCCCTTTTTCAGTGTAAACAGACAAACATCCATCTGTTTTTCCTCCAGCTGCTCCACAGTATTAGCAACTCAAAGACTTTCAAAACTGATGCGTAAGGGTCCTGGGAACTGTGTCGTCCTCTGAGTTAGCCCTCAGAATACAGCCAGTGGAAGCCAAGAAGCTTTCCAATTCCTAAGCCTCTCAGACTAAGATCTTGAAAGCTCCCCTCCCCGCAACTGACCAAATATCTTTGGAAACCATCCTTGCCAGTCCATGCAGCAGAAGGTCAGACGAAGATTGTGGAACCTCGGGTTCAGATGGCCACTCAGCCACAAAACTCACTGGAGGACATTAGGCCTGCCTGTCACACTCTGAACACCAGTTGCTGGGGGATACAATTGGGCAGAGTGCTGCAGTTGCACTCGTGTTCTGCTTGCAAGCTTCCATAGGCAACTGGTTGGTCACTGTGAGAACATAATACTAGCCTAAATGGTCCTTTGGTGTGATCCAATATGGCTGTTCTTATGCTCACACTTCTCCGAATGTGACTGCACTTTGTTTGCAACTTCAACGTATCACAATACATATTATGATTGAAAATTCACAGTTCAGCGTTATTTTGACAGAACATATGGATCGGAATATGTATTTTTTAAGAGAGAAAAACATATCCAACTAGAAATAAGATATTAAATAAAGAATTAAAAGTCCATATTTTGTGTAGGGATGTGTGACTTTGTCTATATCCAGTCCTTGTTGCTTTTGCATGTGAGAACTCATAAGTTTACTCTGCCCCATCTCCACAATCAACAGCGCTTTTTAAACAATCAAACAAAGCCGAAAAAGAATCCCGATTTAAATATAGCTTTAAGAAATCTATCACAGCACATTTTCTCTCAAAATAATATATTCTAAATATGCTTGCATTTCATATTAAATTTGGTCATGTCTTTTGAACCAAGAACTGCACTGAAACATTTGGTAAGTGCAAAGGCCAGTGGAAAATATTAACTTTAAATGTGAAGATTTAAGCCTGGCAGAGGCAGAACAAGTATTTTAAATAGTGTTTTGGTTATACCACCCTTTTTTTGCTGGTTTAATTTATGCTGAGTTGCCAGGTCATATGATCGAGCTGAGTGGGCTTAGGATACAGCCTAAGTACCACCCCCACTGTTCTTGCCACACCATGCTTCCGCTATGCCCCCTTTTCACATTTTACGGCAATTTAAGATCAACTTGGCTTGAGACAACTGCGTAGATCCTGGCTGAGCCGGAATATGCTGGTATATCTCTGGATGAATCAAGGATGTAGGAGCTAAGCTGTCACATCCTGACACAGCTGGCAATCTACTTATCCTGGCAGATTTTCCTATAGGATTGCTTCCTTACAATTGCACTGCTTTGGAGTAAATGTTCCACCCTAGCCTCCATGTAGTAGAATCTGAATAGATGCTTAAAAAAAATTATTTACATACCTGTTAATTCTATGTATATTGGTTCTAAATATTGAGTGGATTTTATTTCTTTCATTTCTTTTTTTTAAATTTTTCAAATATTTTATTATTAAAATAATTCAACATTAATACAGACATATTACGAATATACAAACAGACATTTCATACAATCCTTAAAAATATTCATACATACCCACACTCAGTCCCACAGATACTTCCTTTCCCCACCCCCCCTCACCCCCCCTTCTGTTAGACTTCCAATCTACTCAATTGCAATTTCTTTCCACTTCTATTACTTTCTTTCACACACTTTTAAACCAATTTTCAACTTCTTTTTCTGTCACACATTGTTATCCATCTTATTTAGTATTTCAGTACAGTGGTACCTCGGGTTACATACGCTTCAGGTTATAGACACTTCAGGTTACAGACTCCGCTAACCCAGAAATAGTACCTTGGGTTAAGAACTTTGCTTCAGGATGAGAACAGAAATTGTGCTCCGGCAGCGCGGCGGCAGCAGGAGGCCCCATTAGCTAAAGTGGTGCTTCATGTTAAGAGCAGTTTCAGGTTAAGAATGGAACTCCGGAATGAATTAAGTACTTAAGCAGAGGTACCACTGTATTTATAACGGAACTCGTTTATTCTAATAGAAGTTCTGATTTTTCAATATGATATTGCAAGTATCCTTTAAACACCTTCCAGCCCTAAATATTCACTGGATTTTATTTCTGACTCATTTGGTTTCTATTTTAATTTCCAATCCTAGTGCTTTACAAAGTGCCACCGGAGAACGTGGCATTATCATTCCTCGTTCAACATATCCGTCGAGTGGCAAATGGGCAGGCCATTGGCTTGGTGATAACTTCTCGCGGTGGGATCAGCTTTTGAAATCTATAATTGGTGAGTCAAATTATACATTGTTGATATGTTTTATGATGGGTAGTATGTTTTCTGGAAGTTGTACTTGTTTTTAATGAGCAAGATTTTCTTAATAGTGATATTACAAAGTTGTTGCCTGATGAGAATTGGTATCCCATTTTGCAACAAGAGTGCATAAATAAAAACTGATTGTCATTGAAAAGGTATCTGTCCCTCCCTCCCCACAAACAGCCAGAGTGACAGAGTGTTCAGAAAGAAAAGACATATAACAACATTAATGTTGTACTTAGGCGTTGTTGTTCCTGCACAATAAGTATTTTTACTGACAACAATGGAAGATTCATGTTGCACTCCTAATAAGGTGATGACTGTATTCAACAGTATTTACAAAGTATGTACAAATCGTAAGTGGGTTCTCAAGGCTTTTTTGAAAAGCTGGTACTAATGTGACCAATTTCATGACCTTGAGTGAGAGTTCTAAAGGCTAGTGGTCACCACTGAAAAGGCCTTGTCTACTGACAGAATCATCTGAAAATCTTGATGCAAAACTTACCTCCACTGATTTGTGTCTAACTTCCATCTCACTTATTATTCTCACTGACACACAAGCTCCCCCCCCCCCATTCTGCTAAAAATGCAAAGAAGTTTTGTACGTGATATGCACACACACACTCCAGGCATAATTCACATAACTATATCAAAATGCACATGCAGCAATCTCAGGGATACAATTATGTGGCAGAAATGTAATGCAGCATGGAGGTCCAATGCATGCCGAGTTTGTTTGGGTCAGAACTGCAAAATTCCATGTATAAATGCAACTGGATTATATCTTCATCCTTAGCCCTGTGTTTTGTGCCTGTCACTTTAAGTGATCTCAATGACAGGCAAATGAGAAGGACTCCAAGAGTCAAACTAAAGCCCTTTTGACACATGCTCTGTCCTATGCTTCCATTTTGGCCGGCCAGTTAACTAACATTCAGCTTAACGGCTTGTATGTATGTGACTGAATAAGACCCAAACAAAATGTTAGATAAGTGACTTTTACAGTGAAGGGAGATGCATTTGAGAAACTTAGACTATTTCTCTTACAGGTATGATGGAGTTCAGCCTTTTCGGAATATCCTACGTAAGTCTGAGTCATAACCCAACAATTTAACCTACTATCCTATATTTGAAATAATATGTGGCATTAATACTCAATTATTTTAATATGTTCAGACTGGAGCAGATATCTGTGGTTTCAATGAACATACAAACTACCAAATGTGTGCCCGTTGGATGCAGCTGGGAGCCTTTTATCCATTTGCCAGGAATCACAACGGCATAGGCTATGTGGTAAGCTTTGCTATGCATTGTTTAATTACTTGTTTTAGTTACATTGTGAAAATCTGCTACTTTTCCATTGCGCCCTCATCTAAAACTGCAGTCTCCTCCTCCTGAGCATTCCCTTGCCGCATCATCTTCAATTATTATTATTTTTATTATATTTAAATTAATATATTACTTAATGCCAAGATGGCGTCTAAGCAGTTTGCAAAACACCAATTAGACAACATTTTTAAAACACAGATAATTAATAATAGAACGTGCAATAATTAAAATGCACACTAAAACAACCCTACTAATACATTAAAATATAATCTACCGTGATTTAAAACAAAACAATCTAATTGAAACAAGACAGCAATGAAAACAGGAGTCTCCAGTTCAGAGAAGAAGGGAATGCCATTGTAAACAATGTGTCTTCAAAAGCCCGCAGAATATCAATATAGATGGGGCATCTCATATGTCTATAAGGAGTGCGTTCCACAATACCTGGTCACCACCTCTGAGCAGATCTTTGCTGCCAAAGCATTCCCTGTCCAGTCCACATGATGTCTCTTCACAGATAATGGCACTAGATTGCTATCCTCACTAGATCAGAATGGTTATTGAAACTGGTAGAATATGCTGAGCTAGATAATCTCTCGGAACAGATTAAAGATAAATTTAAGCAGGAGTTCATTTCAAACTGGGAATTTCTTAAGAGATATTTAAAGAATAATTGTTGCAATTTAAAATCGGTTGCAGCCTTTGAGTGATCTCTATAAATAATCCATGTTAAAAGAAACAAAGAAAATATGAGTATTAATACTTTATTATTAAATATGTTAATAAGTTTATGCAATAGGTTTATTAAAATGAAAAGAATATGGAAAGGAAGGAAAGTCAAAGTTTATGTTGAAAAAATTATTGTTAGAAGATTTGTATTCTTTTGTTGTTTTTTATGAATTTGGTTTATAGATAGCAGTGAAGATACGGTTCTGTTGTACAGATGTAATTATGGACAATAAAGCATGGAAAATGTAAAAAAGAAAGAAAGATTGCTATCCCCTTTTGCATACCACATGGGCAGCCCATCTCTTTTCTCCACCTGAGACGAAATGGGAATTGCCACATCCTGGCCCACCTTAGGGCAACCCATGTCTCCTGCCACACCCTACTTTTGCTGCTGCTGTGCCCAATTTCTCGCTGAACATGGCAGGAGCTCAAAGAGTGTTGCTGCTTGCTCAGCTTCTCTGCCCAGGGGAAGGGAAGGTGAGTGGCAACGCTGCAGAATGCAACGCCTCCCTCTCAGCAGTGGTGGGGCAGGTGGAGCACTGCCTCAAGCACTTCTGCCGCCTGAGGCACTCCACACAAAGGTTACTGTGCTTTGGCATCTTAGCAACCACTGCGTTAAAGTTAAAGGTAAAGGACCTCTGACAGTTAAGTCCAGTCACAAACCACTCTGGGGTTGCGGCGCTCATCTCGCTTTACTGGCCGAGGGAGCCGATGTTTGTCCGCTGACAGTTTTTCCGGGTCATGTGGCCAACATGACTAAGCCACTTCTGGCGAAACCAGAGCAGCGCACGGAAACACCATTTACCTTCCCACCAGAGTGGTACCTATTTATCTACTTGCACTTTGACGTGCTTTTGAACTGCCAGGTTGGCAGGAGCAGGGACCATGCAATGGGAGCTCACCCCGTCATGGGGATTTGAACTGCCGACCTTCCAATAGGCAAGCCCTAGGCTCAGTGGTTTAACCCACAGCGCCACCCGCGTCCCTTCTTTTAAAGGAAGCACGGTACCTGAAAGCACAGAAAAACAGATCATGCTTAGAAAATGGGTATTGTAGAAAATGGGTTAAAAAGTGGGGATAAGTTAAATAGAAAAAAAACCAGGACTATTCTGGAGTAGCAAGATCTATTTTTATTGCACATTTCTAAAGAATTGCCACTTCCTTTTTTAAAAAAGGCAGTGCTTTATCTTGCAGCAGCACACCTTTCAATAGGTCTTTTAAAAAGCCTTTAAAAATGTAGATTCAGGGTTATCATGTTGCCTCCAGTCTAACCCAATTTGCCAAGGTATTGTTCCTTTCCTTTAATAAAGATTGAAAGGGCCGTTTGACATCACTCATTAGCACTCCTTTCCCCCCCCCTTTAAAAGTCCTGAGTGGTGCTCTGCAGGAAAGAAGGCGAATTTAGCAGAATGTGTCACATGTTCTGTAGACCGGACTGGGAATTTTTCTTCCCTTCTGTCTCACACACTTGAAATTTGTGAAATGTTTTCAAAGGTGAGTGGTGCTACTGTGAATGGGGGCACAACTCATTCCTCCTTATCTCCTTTTCCATTCTGCAGAATATCACTTTGGACCAAGTTCCATCATTTGTTGCTTAAAATAATGTTGGCCCCAAGAATTCTGCCCAGATATTTTTATCTCTTTGGGATGGGGGGCAAAATTGGTGAATAGTAGGAATTTGGGAGGGGAAATTCAAGATGAAGTGGCAGAGAGATCCCCCACCCCACCCCAGAAATCTTTGTTGCTGCCTCAGTCTATGGCAGAGGGACTCTCAGCAGTGTAGCTGCTACATTTTCTAATTTGGAACAGAAATTCCCCAGGCATTTAAGAGGGATGTTTGGGTTCTCTCCCATCCACAACTGTGTTGTAGGGAATGAACCACTCTGTGAATTAGTGTGCAGAGTATCTGGCCCAGCACTACTTTAAAAAGCTTTAACATGGCTGATATAAATGTTGAAGCTGGAGCAAATAAAAAGTAGAACTGGTCCAAAGGAGCAGACCATGAGGGTTTTGTAAGACAGAGAGCAGGTTTCCCCTGTTGTTTCAGAAGGGTCTGGTTCACTTATTTATTAACATATTTAATTCCATTTCTGTATCACCTCCTGTCAAAACTCTCAACGTGATTTAACAAGAAAAGCACATTTGCATTCTTGTTCTGATTTTCATATTAATTTATTTTAATACTATTACGTTTATGCCCACCTTTCCCCCACAGAGCTCAAGGGGGAATATTGGGTTCTCCCCGGTGCTATTTCTCTAGAAAAATAGGTACTGGAGCTCACCATGAACTTCTTCTCCATTGTTCTTCCCATCATATCCCTGGTTCTTCCCATTATATCCTGACACCAACCCCGTGAAGTAGTTTAGATTGAGATGTGGTGACTGGCCCAAGGTCACTGAGTGAACTTCATGGCTATGTTGGAATTTGAAGCATTGTTTCTCTTTGTCCAACATGCTAACCACTGTACCACACTGGTTCTCATACATGCTGAAAGCTTTCTCTTCATGACTTGCCTATGCGAATGATCCATCACAGATCTAACACTGTTGAAATAATGCTTACATGAAGTACAGCGTTTTTCAGTGAGGCCAAGCCACTGATTCAGCTACAAATAATCAATTGAAGTATAATCAAATTATAGACATATATTGAGTAAATCATCCCTCTTGTGGCAATCGTTGGATACCATAGTTGTGGGGGCCAAATAAAGCTGAGAGCATGCCCAGCTTATGTTGACCTAAAATAGAGTTAAAAGAACTCAGATAGCTGAAAGACAACAGTTATATGACTTAAAATGTCTCCCTAATATATGCACAATATATGTGGTTCTAGGTGTGCCATGTGTAAATACTGGAGAAAGCTTCAGTAGGTCTAATGACTAGGCTGCTTTGTGTTTTTAGAGGCAAGATCCTGTATCCTTTGATCGAGCTTTCGAAGACCTATCCAGGAATGTGCTCAATACCAGATACACTTTGCTCCCCTATCTCTACACACTGTTATATGAGGCTCATGATCACGGAAGCACAGTTGTGCGCCCTTTACTCCACGAGTAAGTATTAAATGTTCTACCAAGTTCATTTGAAATGTAAGCTTGTTAGACAAAACAGTCCTGGTCACCAATGCTAAAAGGTTTGCTCTTTTAGCAGACTTGTGCAGACTTGTAGCGTGAGTTGTAGCATGGCCTATGGCACTGACTGGTATTTCAGTTTTCTGTGTTTATTAAAGACTTAGGGGGATGAGTTCTACATAGTTATGTGGGAATCGCTTGCCTGATAGAATGATCTCTCCTCTCCTCCCACTGTTGTGCACCATTTTAGGGTTCTCCCAACATCCTCAGAGCCAGTTTGTGGGTAGGAATTGTTATGAAGGTAGCGTGTCTGGGGGAAGAGTACCGTAGCTTCCCACAGATCCTTGGAGAAGGCGAAGAATAAAAATTGAAATATGTAAATGAAGTCACTGAGGATAGGATCTCATAACTACTTTTGAAGACTTCCTCACTCATGTAGATAATTCCTTGATGAGGTGCCTGTAAAGTCAAGAACTGAGCAAGCAGCACAAATATGTCCAGGGATCTTGGGGCCAGGACTTGTATGTTTTAAATCTTGTATATTTTGGCAAACACCTGAAGATAGCTTAAGTGTGCTTTGTATTTGTGTGAGTACATCAGTTTAGCAGCATGTTTAGGCTAATAGCAACTAATAAATATAATAAATAAATAAATACATTATGTGTGCTCTGAGCCCAATTTATTGCCAAAAATTGAGCATCTATGTCGAGATTTGGGGGGCTTTTTTCTTTTTAAAGACACTGCTAAAACTATCTCCCTTTTTGTCACCCCCCCTCAATCTGCACCCATTATTGATTAGACATATAAATTAAACTGCTTCAATATGCTTCAATATTTGGATCACTCTGCAAAGATATTCCAGATCCAAATCTATATCCATTTTTAATATATTGTGAGACTGTTTTTCCAGTAGCATTATCACACTTAATAATTTATTGTGTTGCCTTCAGATTTACAGATGATAGAACAACATGGGACATAGACAGACAGTTTCTCTGGGGACCGGCATTGCTCATCAGCCCTGTGCTGGATGAAGTAAGTACATATGTAAAGGCAAAGTTTAAGAATAAGAATAAGAAAGATTTTTTTCTACAACATTAATGTACGTATTTAAATTACAGAATCAAACAACAGTGAATGCTTACTTTCCTGATGCCCGCTGGTATGATTATTACACAGTAAGTGAAATTCCTTTGAACCATCTTCCAAATGTGAAAACACATTAAATTAAGAAAAAAATGTAATATGTTGTGTTAAGGGCTTTCCAAAATTCCAGGGAATCACAACTGCTGAGGGTCATGTCTTTAATGCACATGTTACATAGCCAATATTCATGTTGTATGGTAGCCTATCCTGGGTTTAATTTCAGATTCACTATTTCCTTGGCAGTTAAATGGCTGCCATTGGCAGAGGAGAGCAACTAAGTTCCATATTAGTTTGTCTGTTGCAGTAGACACATGGAGACTCTGCAAATGAAGCTATGCAGGACGGCCTCGGTCCTATATACCTGAAGGAGCGTCTCCATCCCCATCATTCAGCCTGGATACTGAGATCCAGCACCAAGGACCTTCTGGCGGTTCCCTCATTGCGAGAAGTGAGCTTACAGGGAACCAGACAGAGGGCCTTCTCGGTAGTGGCACCCACCCTGTGGAACACCCTCCCTTCAGATGTGAAGGAAATAAGCAGCTGTCCTATCTTTAAAAGACATCTGAAGGCAGCCCTGTTTAGGGAAGTTTTTAATATTTAATGCTGTATTGTTTTGAACATTTGATTGGGAGCCGCCCAGAGTGGCTGGGGAAACTCAGCCAGATGGGCAGGGTATAAATAATAAATTATTATTATTATTATTATTATTATTATTATTATTATTATCATCATCATTATTATTATTATTATTATTATCATCATCATCATCATCATCATCATCATGCAACTGTGTCCCGAGCACACTCAGCCCCACCTTGAGGACGTGCGATTGGAAGCAATCAAATTACAAATCGACAAAGCACTCAGTTACATCAGCTCCAAAGGTGGAAGAGTTACATGCACCACTCCAGCTAAATAGCTAGTTAAGCATCTCCTCCTTCAAACTTATGCTCCAGTCTAGACAGTCGGGACAGCAGCACAACCATCCCTCCATCAGCACAATTAAACGCCCTCTTCTGACGTAGCGCAGGCAAATAACCGGCAACTTTGCCTGTGTGGCAGCTCCAGCTGCTTCTGTTGCTATGAACCCCTCCTGTTTCTTAGACACAGTGGCAGAGGAGACAGACAGGATTCTAATGGCCTGACTCTCTCTAGTATGGTTTCTTCCAACTCTTCACCTCCTTGCAAATCTTCCCCCTCCTCCCCTCCTGTCTCTGACTTCTTAGACTATTCCTCTCACCCCTGCCTCATGGGTGACACAGATCCCCACAAAACATTGGCTTTCCCCCCCTGGATCATACACATCCTTTGCCCATTCTGGATTCCTGACTGTCCTTGAAAAACTGAAGCTACCATTTTGAAAATACTCAAGGGCAACCAGTACCATCCACATAGAATGATAAGAGTTGGAAGGGAGCTTATATGATCAACATGTTTTGCTAACTGTATAATAACGATGATGATGATGATAATTTATTATTTATAATCCACCCATCTGGCTGGGTTTTCCCAGCCACTCTGGGCAGCTCCCGACAGAATATTAAAAACACAATAAAAGATCAAACATTAAATACTTCCTAAAACAGGGCTGCCTTCAGATGTCTTCTAAAAGTCAAACAGTTGTTTATTTCCTTGACATCTGATGGGAGGGCATTCCACAGTTTGGACGCCACTACCAAGAAGGCCCTCTGCCTGGTTCCCTGTAACTTGGGTTCCCACAGTGAGGGAACCACCAGAAGGCCCTTGGCACTGGACCTCAGTATCTGGGCTGAACGAAGGGGGTGAAGATGCTCCTTCAGGTATACTGGGCCAAGGCCGTTTAGGGCTTTAAAGGTCAGCACCAACACTCTGAGTTGTGCTTTGAAATGTCCTGGGAGCCAATGTAGGTCTTTCCGGATCGACAAGCAAGATCCACTGGTAGCTTTGCCTGGTAAAGCACTTTTGCCTTGTGCAATATCCCCTCCCCACCTGTTCAGCTCTCTGTATCATAGCCCATTCTGTTCCAGTGGGTCCCCCAGTCCTAAGGAACAGGCCTGGCACCAGCAGAGAGATAGGTCATGGGCCAAGGACCCCTCACCAGTCTGCCCAATTGTGCACCCATTCCCCACTAGGCTCCCTAAATGTGTCACCACAGCAGCCAACAATGCTGCTGCTGAATGGGAGCCAAGCTGGCTGCCATTTTAAATTACCCGAAATGTAATGTTGGCCCACAGATTTGTAAAATGTATTGATTTAATAGATTGGGGACGTAGTCAAGGACACTGAACTGTGCTGCCACCTCCAAAGCAGTGAGTCTTGGGGAGGAGACAGTTTACTTCTTGTAATTTGTAATTAACGATTGGCTGGATGTTTGTGTGTGTGCACAGATTTTAGCGTTTGAAAATAAGACTGAAAGTTCCCCCTTTTCATGAACAGAGCAAAGACATTGGAGTCCGAGGAAATTATTCTGTCTTACAAGCTGAGCTTGAACACATCAACCTTCATCTCAGAGGTGGCTACATTATCCCATGGCAACTACCTGATCTGAATACCAATGCCAGGTACAGTCAGATATGTGGGATTTTATTTATTTATTTATTTTACAAATTATTTATATAGGTAGATCAAATCAAAAAATACATAGATGCTCAGTAGGAGCTACAACTGATTGCCTGTTTCCGTCCATAGGGCTTATCAAGGCTGTGTTGTGTGGAGGCTAATAACTTGGCAAATGATCAAGTTGGTGTCAGAGAACCACAGCTTTTATTGGTTACTGCACACCTTTGGTGTGGCATAGGGTGGGGGCTCCAGTGATAAGCAGCCAGTACTCCATCCCACCCAGATTAAAGGGAGATTCTTGGGTCCCTTCCATAACCTTAAGTGCTACTGGCAGACCACTCATGCAAGTGTAGTGGCCATGCTGGTTCCCAGAGGTGAGACTAAGGCCTTGAAGTGACAGCCTAAGACCTGTAAGAGGGAAGGGAAGGGCCAACCTCCTGGTGTCAGGAACATGGCCCCCCAAGTGCAGGGGAAGAGTTAGACTCAGAAATTTAACTCAATTAATGAGGGACCGACTCTGCAGATGAGAGCTAGCTGACAGAGTCAAGAGAGGGCAGTTTGAATCCCCCTCCTAGGGAAAACTCTGTTAGCTCTCTAGAAGAGGGAAAGTTGGAGGGCAGTCAGAGCATTGCTAGGCAATCAGCAGATAAGCAGAGGTATAAGACTGAGTGAAAGGAGGAGGGAGGCCAGCCTTTCAGTCCCCACTCTAGGTGCTTGGAAAGATCAGATGGCAACAGAAGGGCAAGAGGGGAAAAGCAGGAGTTTGGCATCCTTCCTGCCATGGGAGGGGTGAAGTTTCAGACTGACCAACTATTGTCAATGCGAGCAGGCAAAAAGCCACGCTCTGGATGTGTGTGGGGTTTTTTGTAATAAATGTACATAAAGCTGCCAGAAAGTCATTACTTCTTATCGGAGCTTGCTTGCCTGCCAGAAATCATTACACCTGACTATGGATCCCAATGACTCCAACCCCTACTGTGAAAAGTTGCAACAAGTTAATACTTGTTAGTACTAATACTAATACTAGTTAGTACTAATACTAATAACCACCCCCAAACCCCCCCCAAATGTTGCTATGAGGATGGCAAAGACCTCAACAGTGCCAAGTCATCTGGTAGCTAAACTCCATCCATAGCAACCAACACCCTCACTTACAACAGGGAGCGTGAAGACAGGGATGATGCTTCGAGTGTCATGAGGTCTGATCTCAATTTAAGTCTCAGGGACAGATCACAGGTAGGAAGTTCTCTTTTAGGTCAGCTCTCCAGCCTCAGGCCCTGAAGTCCACTGGTGCTGCTGCTGGGTTCCCAAGGGTGGTACTTTCTCTGAGAATGGTCTAGGTGAGCGGGAGAGCACCCACCACTGCCACATGCCCTTTCAAATCTGGCTTGTTCCCTACTCCCTGCACCCATACAGGGCACAAATTGGGACACAGTATAGGCAGGAATGTAGTGATGTATAGAAGTGAGAGCTAGACCATAAAGAAGGCTGATCACCGAAGAATTGATGCTTTTGAATTATGGTGCTGGAGGAGACACTTGAGAGTCCCATGGACTGCAAGAAGATCAAACCTATCCATTCTGAAGGAAATCAGCCCTGAGTGCTCACTGGAAGGGCAGATCCTAAAGCTGAGGCTCCAATACTTTGGCCTCCTCATGAGAAGAGAAGACTCCCTGGAAAAGACCCTGATGTTGGGAAAGATGGAGGGCACAAGGAGAAGGGACGACAGAGGACGAGATGGTTGGATAGTGTTATAGAAGTTACCAACATGAGTTTGACCAAACTTCGGGAGGCAGTGGAAGACAGGAGTGCCTGGCGTGCTCTGGTCCATGGGCTCATGAAGAGTTGGACATGACTAAATGGCTAAAGAACAACAAATAGGCAGGAATCCGTGGCATATCGTATGTCTCAGTATGAGCGGATGACAGAGGACAATGGTTTCCCAGTTTAATTCATAAGATTGATGAAAACTAAATTATTTGTCATTCAAATGTCTTCTTTTGTTTTTAGTCGAAAGCAACCAATGGGTCTTACGGTTGCTCTGGATGATAATGGTGCTGCTCAAGGGCTTCTTTATTGGGACGATGGAAAAACTATTGGTAAGTTTGGAAAGCTCCCATCTACAGAGTCTGACAATTAGTCCCATCTAGATCAGCACCATTGGCCATGAATAACAAGGGCTTCCTGGGGTTTCAGGCAGGAGTCCTTCCCAGCCTTACCTGCCAGGAACTGAAACCAAGGCATCTTCACACAGAGCATGTGCTCTGTCACTGAGCTACAGCCTTCCACTTCTTTGCAAGGCTGTTGCACAGCTTATTAAGAATATGTGAAATTCAAATTAGATGCTAATAAGTTCCAGACCACCTGATAAGAAGGTGCAACATGCCTTCTTCTGTGTGTCAGCATCGTCCTCTTGAAATGGGAACCGCTGGAATGGGAACAATATTATTTTAGCAGATTTTAAAGAACACCGCCACATGAACATAGAAAAGTCGCTAATAAGTATTTTAATAGCAGACGTACTGAATACAAATAACCATTTTTTAAAAAAGATGATTAACAACATAAACCTACGGCCCTTTCTAAAATTACCAGTACCATGGGTTCAGCTATACTTCAGATCCTCCTCGCATCACTGATCTGTAAGTAGTTCAAGACAATATAAGAGGAGCCCATATCCTGATTATTCTCACTCCAACAGTTGCATCCTTCCAATACAGGGGTAACACAAACATGGAAAAGAAATTGTGTTGCACTTCTCCACATGGCCTGGAGTTCTGATGTTGCCCCAGTGGTGTTCATAGGAACTGCACTACAGTGTCTTCCAGCCCCTTGGATAACACCCAAATTAGATTGGTTCATATACCTAAGTATATAATGTAAATATGTCTTTGGTGGTTTTGAACGAAAGTTCACTTCCATTAATTTCATATATTTACCCTACTTAAGAGTGCTTATATTTGCCTGGCTCATGCCCAGTACAGGTCTGAAGAAGGAAACCCCCAAACTATAATGTCCCTAATCAATGTGCCCATAAAGTAGAACCTGCCTACAGAAATAAAAATCCATGATATTGCTAGGAGAGCTGTAGGATGGGGTACTTATTGTCGCTGTCTAAAGCTTCTTGCATTCCCATGCACCAATGGAAACTGCTTCCTTGTCCTCTTAGCAGTCTTCCCCTTTAATCATTCTGTTGCTGCTTTCTTATTACAGATGCATATGAGAATGGCCTTTACCTCTTACACACATTTAATGTCAGTCAGGTATGTATAATCTCTAATCTTATATCCTTGCTCCTGCTCCTAGATGATGCCGAGTTTTGGTGTAGAATTAGGTCTTTCTGAGACTAGTGATCTCTGCACCTATTTAGAAATTGATTGACTGACAGGCACTGCCCTTAGATGTGCCTTCTATTTAATTAAAATCGCAAACCCTTGATGTGATAAATCGGTACATTTGCACCTGCATATAATTATATTGCACGTAGCAACAGGTTTCAGAACATTTGCAGTAGATGTACAAAAACAAACAATGCAAAAAGAAATAAACACACACACACACATTTGGTCAAGAAACCTTAGTGTGCAATTAGTTTCTATTTTAGTTGGGTTGTCCCACAGTAATTAGTGGAGTCAATGGAACCCTTTCCATTAAGTGATGTTCTAATTAAATTGTTCAAAATAGATGTTAAATAGCCGTCTCTGGCAGCTTTAGAAGTCAAAACCTGGCTAACAATCCAAGTGCTTTGAACATTTATACATGCAAATAGATTTGTAGAATTTGGTATCATAGATGCTTTGCTAATACATTTGTGCAATGTCCTCCATCTTGATGCTATTTCTCAAGCAAAAGTTTGTATGATGAAATCGGAGAGAGGCTGTGACAAGCAATTGTGAAATCATAAATAACAGTATGAAAAACCCCCACACCCTTTCTTTCAGAATGCTTTGGACATCAGCCTCGCCCACGAGGGATATTTTGACCCAAACAACTTAAAATTCAGTGAAATTAAAATTTTAGGACTGTCAAGCAAACCTGTTAATGTTATGGTGTTTCAAAATGGTGCGCCAATCTCATCCAGTCATAATGAGACCTATGATTCTTCAACTCAGGTAAGGAAAAAATGTTGACACTATGAACCACTTTCATTACTTAAGAGAATTTCTCCAAATCTCTACATTAGGTGTGCATTCATTTTGGTACTATTCACATGCTTACATAGACACCAGAATACTTACTTTAGTAAAAGTTCTTCTCGTGCACCATTAAATCCCACATATTTTATTCCCCTAATTGAAAGGGGAAGAGGAATAAAAATGGTGGTTGTATTCAGTTCTATGTTGCTTGGGTCTTGAAGGCAGGTAACAGGGTGAAGGCTGCACAAAGCATTATTTGCTTTGTGATTACTTGCTGGGAAAATAAGGTGTCCAGTCAGGTATGAGCCCTTGTGAAGCTGCAAATCAAACCATCCAAGCTCTGTGCCCTGCAGTAAGCTTCATTTGGTGGTTACAGTATGTCTCGGGTCCCAATTAGCTCTCAAGAGTGGCACCTCTTTCAAACTGCATCATCCAGCATCCTCGATATTCTGCCTCTGTCAGTAGCTAAGAATTCAGGTCTTTGCTACCACATTTAATCTAACTTGCTTGTCTTCCGCATCCTAGACAGTTTTCTCCTTTGCCTGTTGATGATCTCCATCCCTAGACTTCTAACCCAGTTCCCACTATTTGACCTATTGAAATTGCCTAAGCTTGTCTTGACATGGAACCTCCGAGTTCCACTTGGCTGTTGTCCCTGGGGAAATTTCTCCATGCCATCTTGGCTTATTATAGATGAACTGAGAAAGTGGCTTCTTCCCAATGTTCCATTTCCTTTTGCTACCGCCTGCTGTCATATACATTTATAGCTATGTTTGTATGCTGCAAAGAGCCAGCTCTACTTCATATAAACTAATTAAATAAAACTACATTTCTTTTTTTTTAAATGAGACTGCTGTTTAATGTACACAGAACTGTGAAATGATTTTTGTCATTTGTTGCTTTTTAATTATTATTTCCAAAGCTCTTGCACATTCAAGGTCTTCAGCTTGCACTGGGGCAAAAGTATACCTTGAAATGGGGGCAGCCTACTGAAGATACAGAAAAATTCAATTGTTATCCATATCCAGAACCAACACAAAGCACTTGTGAAGAACGTGGCTGTTTCTGGCAGGTAAGCAACTGGGAACTGGTGAAACAGGTGAAATGGAACCATTTGATGTGCCAAAAAATTATCCAGTTTCTGAATCTCATCTGATACCATTTCGTTTTGTGATGATGAATTTTAATTTTGATCTGAAACTATGGGAATGTAAGACTTTCTTTCTTTCTTTCTTTCTTTCTTTCTTTCTTTCTTTCTTTCTTTCTTTCTTTCTTTCGGATTTGCAGTTCTACACCAATATTGGCTTTTTATGGGCAGTTTTAGCTGAGTTTGTTTTGTTTTGTTTTTAAAGTTGCTTTGACCATATTTTACTTGTGAAAGATACCCTTAAATTGTTCCTTAAGCTCTTTGTATGCCTTAGCATAGTCCTCCCATTGTCCATTGTAAGTCCTATTTACTGTTTATTGCTGAAGCCTCTCTCATAGTGTTGACTTACTTAATATGGTCTTTTATTTCAGGTTGTCTCTACTCCTGGTGTGCCTCACTGCTTTTATCCCAAGAATTATGGCTACACCGCCAGTAACATTCAACACAGTGCTGAGGGCGTGACAGCTGATCTGCAGAGGAACACAATCTATCCTAATCCTTATGGGTCTCAATCACCAGCTGTTGACCAGCTTCGCTTGGTAGTGACCTACCATTACAACAACATGCTGCAGTTTAAGGTAAACTGTAATCTCATGGAGTACACCCCCCCTTAAGATGCTGCAGCTAACAAACCTTCCCCAAGGATGGCACTCTTGGTGCATCCTCTCAGTTCCATGACATGATAATCCCATCATTGCAGCTGTTGCTGGAGAAAAGTACTTTCAGTATGCAGACATCAAAGGCTTATCAGCACTTACATTTTGCTCTGTTTTTTTCCAGGCACAGGTTCATGCTTAAGAGCTCTGTGTCTGAGTGTTGTTGTCAGGTTTGGGTTTGTTTGTTTTTTGCCCCAGAGCTTTCTCCACAAAAACCCCTTCTTTAGTGCTTAATCGGAGCAAACAGCAATTCAGGTTTTCTGCAGATTGCCATTTGCTCCGATTGAGCTTTAATGAGCATGTTTTTTGCGGAAAAGTTCCAGAGCAAAAATTAAAATTAAAATGGGCCCACGGATATGAGGCATTTAAGAGCAGACTATACCTGGAAAAAGCGGAGGGAAAGTAAGTGTGGATAAGCCTGTATCTCCAGTGCATTCTACCAGAGTAGATCCACTGAAATTAATAGATGATTTAGTCATGCTCATTAGTTTCAGTGGGTCTCCTTGGAGTGAAACTAACATTGCAGACAGTCCATTAGAATGTGCATGATAAGAAGCTTTGAAAAGTCAGTGCCAACAAGCAGAGCACTTCTACAATGTGGCAATAATATGGCCCTTTTTCTCTCTGGCTGTCCTTTGCTAGATTGGTCAATACCATTTTTATAATTCTGTGAAGCTTTTGCCTGCTGAAGTCATTTTTTATTGTGATTTCTACCAAGGATGTTTTTGAATATATTTTTAAAAGTACCTTTTACTAGTGTGCAATGTATTAAACTGTGATTTTAAATTGGAGCGAACTGTGCATGGGCACTGGAAAAGCGGGATAGAGATTCTCATGTAAATAAAATGGGTAATAAACAGTAGTTGAACTGTCCTTTTGCATTGACTCTTATAGACAAGCAGGTCCTTGTGATGTTTGGTTTTGTTACATATCTTTTGCAAGCTGAAGAATGCTCCCTTCTCCATAGATCTATGATCCCAACCACAAAAGATACGAAGTTCCAGTCCCGCTCTTCACGCCAAGCAGCTCTCAAAGTACAGAAGCCAGCCGGCTCTATCAAGTGGACATTGTGAACAATCCATTTGGCCTTCAGATCCGACGCAAAAGCACAGGAACCATTATGTAAGTGGAACCTTTGATTTTATTGATAGATTCATTTCAGCAAGGATCAGCAGGAAAACACCCTGAACCAAGGTCTTAATTTGCTTATGGAGCTATGGTATCATTCACACAAATTCAGACAAGGAAGGTGTTTGTGTGTGTGTGTGTGTGTGTGTGTGTGTGTGTGTGTGGTTGTTGTTATTTCCACTAAACATTTATCAAGCATCCTGGCGTCTGCCTGGCCAACCACTCTTCCTGATCTCAAAAAGGTCCATAGAAGGCATTACCTCATCAACACCATGCAGATAAAACATACTTAAAGTGCATGGGTTCTCCCAGAGAATCCTGAAAACTGTAGTTTCTGAAGGGTGCTGGGAGTCATAGCTCTGTGAGGGCTAAACTACAGTTCCTGGGATTATTTGTGCTCTAAATGTATCGTGTGGGTGTTGAAATGTAGGCCTCAGGAAAGACTGTTTCATGCTACTACAGTGGTACCTTGGTTCTCAAACTTAATCCGTTCTGGAAGTCCGTTCCAAAACCAAAGTGTTCCAAAACCAAGGTGTGCTTTCCCATAGAAAGTAATACAAAATGGATTAATCTGCTCCAGACTTTTAAAAATAACCCCTAAAAGGGCAATTTAACATGAATTTCACTATCTAACAGACCATAAAATGAAAGCAATAATCAATGTTCTGTGCTATAAAATAAATAAGATAGTATTGTAGATGATAAAAATTAAAATTAATTTTTTTTCTTACCTGTACTGATGGATAGGCATGAAATGAAAAACAAGCCACAGTCACAAAAATGAAAAAGCACACAAACAAAAATGCAGAAACAAAAGCAAAAACAAAAGCACCAAATATCACCTCAGAACACTGCAATCAGAAACGGAAGACTTTAATTACGATGGCAGGGGAGACTCAAATGAGCGGGGCAAGGGCAGAAGCGAGAGGAAAAAGGGCTTAATTACTATGTGGGGGACTCAAATTTGCTGCGCAACAAACTCAGGAGCACAGCGTTCTGGTTCCAAGTTGTTCGGGAACTAAGCTGTTCGAAAACCGAGGTACCACTGTAATTGCCTGACCAGTGGTCTGCATGCAGCAAACAAACTAAACACCCCTTTTGTTAATGTATATATATAAATATATAAAACAACACCCTGCACCTTGCCCATGAGAATTTTCTTGAACTTTTCTCTCCCAGTTGATAATTTTTAATGTGTGTGTTTTTTCCTCATTAATTGAAGGAGAATGTTTGTTCATTTGTTTTGAAAAGGATAAATGCTTAGCTGAGCACTAGAGGGCTGCCAGTTCTAAATATGTCTCTCATGGATGGCATTCCATCATGACATCTATAATAACTGAGATCATTGTGAGGATTTGATATGAGGTTGCTAAAGAGGGTTTGTGCTGTCTGTCTCCACCATATTCTGCTTGTACCTTTTAGAAATTAAAAAAAAAAAATACTACAAAAATGCAGTGAGTAATTTTTTTCCAAAGTAAGACAAATCCTGGTAAGCATTGCCCCCGGAATGTCTCACCCACTCACTGAAGTGTGGAACATGTAAAGTATGTTCAAATATTTGCTTTTTAAAAAAAATCACTGCAGGCAAGTGCACATTTACTTTGATAAAACAAATAGAGTATGGATTTAATCTAACATGTATGTTCACATCAAGAGGGCATTGTATTATCAATGTAGTGACGCAGAGAGAGAGATGTACCAGGAAAAATTGAAGCTCTGAACAAAATTTGTAAATATCAAACAGAAACATGGTGAAACCCTTTCCACTTTGGAAGCAAAGACAAGTGTATCATAACTCCAAAAATCTGGGGTGTGGAGATTTTTGGAATAACGTGTAGGTTTAGCACAAACATTTTTGTTCTGATGACAACTGGCCATTCAATTACTACATATTCTTCTCCAGAAGAAAAGTGTTCTCAGTTTGAATCTCACTGTTTCTGTAATAAAATTAGCAATGACTCAGATAATTTCTTTGCACTTAAACACCAAGATGTGCCTGTGCCACACTAAGAGAAAGGTTGAGAATTACAGAGCAATAACCGGTAATATGTGGTACCCACATCCCAGAAACTGAGACCTCCGGGTATAGGGTGGTATATAACTTCAATAAATAAAATAAACTATATTCTTTCATTTTTCACCACCACCCCTGATTGTGGAAGGAGATGGGTGGAAATGAGCTCAGTGGCCCCTCACCTTACTCATTCACATGTTAATCCACCACTATTCTTGCATTTCTCCTCTGTGTTTTGAGGGCTAGCTATCTAGAGCATGAAACCTTGAAAGAGAAGGTTTCTATGATCTGCGTGAGATCCTATTGGAATAGAGCAGATAGCCCAGTGCAGACATTCTGCCTCCAATGTGTGGGGGGCTGCAGGAATGAGGACATGTGGGTTGGCAAACAGCCAACAATTATGTCCCTAGTATCCTTTGGGGGTGGGAGAAAATATAAGGGTAGAATAAGTTGTTCTCAGTTTGAATCTCACTGTGTCGTCCGGCCAAAAGGTACACACACACGTGTATGTGTGTGTGTTTGTGTTTGTGAGAGAAAGAGAGAGAGAGAGTATGTATGTAGATAGGACTACCTCAGAAATGCACATTTGGAAAATAACTTAACGTGAAGTTGCCACCTAAGTTCAGCTGGAGCCAGTACCCTGACTCTTATCTTGAAAATGTGGCCAAATGTGCTTTTCAGAAGCATTGGTTATTTCTTGGCTGTCTCCCATGAGAAATGACCACTTTTCTGCTTTGCATGAGTTGCACCATATGATATAGACCAGGCACGTCCAGCTCCCAAGAGACTGCAATCTACTCACAGTATAAAAGAACTGGCAGTGATCTACCCATTGTCACTGGAGGATTGACCAGAGTTGTTGAACTTTTTATTTATTTTTTTTAGAAAAAAATTATCAGGGGGTCGAAAGATCGACCAGGGACATCCCATGATCGACCAATAGATCGCTAACCTGTTGGACATGCCTGATATAGACTAACCATCCTTCTTTTACAGCTGGAATTCTCAGGTGCCGGGCTTCACCTTTAGCGACATGTTCATTCAGATTGCTACTCGCCTACCATCACAGTATGTGTACGGATTTGGAGAAACTGAGCACACTCAATTCCGGAGGGATATGAACTGGCAGACCTGGGGAATGTTCACAAAAGATCAACCACCCGGTGTAAGCCGAATTCTTGCTCACTCTTCTGCTTTTTTTCTCAGTTTGTGTCACTGTCTCAGTTTTCCTACTTTGGACTTGCTTCCTTTCCTAAACAGCAAAAATAACTTTGAATTTTTTTTAGAAAGCAATGAACATCTTTTAAAAGGAAAACAATGAGTGCTGTAAATGTATAATATGGTAATTTGGGGCAGCAGCTCTTTGCTGGCTGAAGGACTGGATGCTCCTCGAGAACACAGACATTTTGGATCTGGAAGGTTTTAACAATGTTTTTGGTTGGCACGCATATCTATGGTATGACAAAACTAAGCAGCATAGTGCCTTTAAAAATCACATAGTTAGAAAAGCATTGTTTAATGTATGGATGAGATATAAAGATCTCTTGGAAAACAAAACCCCTAGATGGGTGTCACCAGTCGAGGCTAAAGCAGTAAAGAAACTCAATATGGAGGTCGGATGGCCGAAGTATTGGGAAATTTTGGAACAGGATGGAGATAAGTGGAAATTACAAAGCTATGACAAATTGAAGGATAAAGTACAAAACTGGCTTCAATACTACCAAGTAATGGAGCTTTTCAAACAGGACAGGAAAATTGGCTTTCAGGTGGAAAAATCAAAACTAGAGATTGAACTGTTAGAACCCAACACTAAGAATTTATCAAGAATGTATAACTTGTTGTTGAAATGGAATACACAGGATGAAACGGTGAAATCAGCCATGATTAAATGGGCACAAGATATTGGTCATGACATTATGTTTGCTGACTGGGAACAGTTATGGGCCACCGGTGTTAAGTTTACGGCATGTAATGCCTTAAGAGAAAACATAATGAAAATGATCTACAGGTGGTACATGACCCCAGTCAAGCTGGCAAAAATCTATCATCTGCCCGATAACAAATGTTGGAAGTGTAAAGAGACTGAAGGTACCTTCTACCACCTTTGGTGGACATGCCCGAAGATTAAGGCCTTCTGGGAAATGATCTATAATGAAATCAAAAAGGTACTCAAATGTACCTTCTCTAAAAAACCAGAGGCCTTTCTCTTGGGCATTGTCGGCCAATTGGTGACAAAGAGGGATAGAACTTTCTTTATGTACGCTACAACAGCAGCAAGAATACTCATCGCAAAGTATTGGAAGACTCAAGATTTACCCACTCTGGAAGAATGGCAGATGAAAGTTATGGATTATATGACATTGGCCGAGATGACAGGCAGAATCCGTGACCAACGAAAAGAGACGGTGGAAGAAGAATGGAGAAAATTTAAAAGTTATCTTAAGGACTACTATAAACTTAATGATGGCTAAAATGTTGTGGTTTTCAGAAACAAAGGGATACAGGGATATAAGGTTAGAAATATAAAAGAGGACTAAGATGATAGAGATTGGAAAGTAACAATTGGGAGTTGCTGGTTGAACTATGGACATTGGGATGCAGAGAGGGGGGGTATGGGGAAGTCAAAGGAAAGAGGTTTATGAAAATATGTTTGAAACTATACGTGTATGTTTGTCACTCTTGGTGTTTGTTTGTTTTTCTTAAAAAGTTTCTAAAACCAATAAAAATTTTATAAAAAAATAATAATATAATATGGTAATTTGGTCTATAAAAATGGTTGGGGGAAGGGATAATGTTAGGAGTTTCCTATCAGATTTCTGTTATTAGTCAGTCAATATGGGTTTCTTTGGGCCAGGGTTTCTTTGGGCCACTTTAGATAGACCTGTTGACAGCCTTTAATGCTCTGTTCATATATTTCCATGGAAGTTGGGATGGCCTAAGACTAGGAGGTAGTCAGAAAAAAGTACAATGGGGTGTGTGTATCAAGGTTGCTATGAATGGAGAACAGCACAGTGCAGTTGAAGAGTGACAGAACTGAGTTTAGGCTCCCAAAGTTAGCAGTGTTTTTGAAAACAGGCTTCCTCTCCTTCAAGACCTGATGCGGTAGCAATGAACTTTTTTTTTAAGTTCCAACAAAAACATCACAAGCCTCTAGCGACTTCCTCCTACAAAGGGAAATAAAACCTGGCTAAGTACTGATATTTCAAATATACCTCTGCTCAAAGAACTGGGGTGGTGGAGCAGTAAGAATTGTTCAGGACTGAGTTTGAGATGGCACACAACCCGGGCTTCATCCAGATATGTGTGTATCTGCGGAAGATACATGTGGACTTAGATGCAGAAGAAATGAAATCCTTCTGCCTTTATTTTTTTACAGTACAAGCTGAACTCCTATGGCTTTCACCCCTTCTACATGGGACTTGAAAATGATGGAAATGCTCATGGAGTTCTTTTGCTGAACAGCAATGCTATGGGTAAAAGAACAACATTTTTTAAAATAAAAAAATCTGTACAGAATTTCATTTTTTGTTCATACATTTATGGCAATTGATTATTGATTTCCTATTCCTTCTGGATTTTTCAGATGTCACCTTCCAGCCAACACCTGCCCTGACATATCGCACAATTGGAGGAATTTTGGACTTTTACATGGTTTTAGGGCCGAAGCCAGAAGAAGTAGTTCAGGAGTACACTGCAGTAAGACATCTACTGTTATAATATCCCAGTCTAGCAATGGATATTAATTTCTTTTTTACCAGTTTCTCTATATGTCCATCCAATATGGATGGATATTTACATCACGAAGGCCAGCTGTACAGACCGGATGCATCAGTTCTTATTGGTTTGGGGGACTGTTTGTGTGCTACCACATTTCAATGTTTTGTTTTGTTTCAATTCTATGATTTGTTCTTCATTTGTAGCTAATTGGACGTCCTGTCATGCCACCCTATTGGGCCTTGGGATTCCAGCTTTGCCGCTACGGGTACAAAAACACGTCTGAGGTTGCCGAAGTGTATGATGCAATGAGGGCAGCTAGAATACCCTACGTAAGTGTCTTGCAGCTGTGCTCTTCAGATTCCAATCGATGATTATTTTGTTGGAAGAAGATTTCAAAATGATTCAGAAAATCAGGAATATATCAATCCCAACTGAGTTCTGTATAAAACATTACCCAAAGTTCTATGCAGACAAAATCAAGGGAGAAAGAAAGAGTGGAGGAAAGAGGCACAGACCTAGTTTGTATGGTTAAGGTCAGCAAAGAAACAGTTTTGCCCTTCTCTATCCCAGTGATATCTCAAAGTGAAAACCGTTTTTAAAATCTTTTAAAAAGCAATAAAACATTCTCAGAAAATTTAAGATTTGCATTTTTAGGTGTGTGTGTCTTAGCTATGGCTCAGTTTGTGAAGTGACCCTTCAACTTTCCTAATGTCATTTAGACATGCTTGAAATTGAACCTGAAGGCTTTGCTTTTGCATTATAGTTTTGAATTTTAATAGTTAATAAAACAACAACAAAATTGGGGGCTAAATTGTTTGGTCCAACCCTAGAATATATTCTAATCTTATCATGCTGTAGATGCACACTGAAAGAATCTTGGGGTATTTATTTATTTATATAAATAAATAAATATATATTTATTTATATAAATAAATTTATATACTGCCCTATACCTAAAGGTCTCAGGGAGGTTCACAGAATCAAGTATGCTTCTGGATATATGGATCTGAACTTGAACATTCTTAACTGTATTGAGGCATATTTGATATTGAAAGTCCATGCTTTCTTTGTTTTGCATCTTGAACATGTTGAGATTATTTTAAATTAATCATCTCCAGGTCTTCAGTTTATTTTTCACACATGTTTTTACTGTTTTATTTTAACACAGGATGTCCAATATACAGACATTGATTACATGGAACGGAAGCTAGACTTCACACTTGGCAAAAACTTCTCTGACCTTCCAGCTTTTGTTGATCGAATAAAATCGGAGGGTTCAAGGTACATCATCATTCTGGTTAGTAATTTTTAATCATTCTTGAGATACCATTGTGGAATGCTGGTAGCATTGGTCCAGTACCTCAATGTACACACAAGCTATGTACCTGTTCCTTTAGGGGAAGTGCAACCCCACCAGAACAGGCAGTCTGCTCAATTACTCAACCCTGGGAACTGTCTCTTCACAGCACTTCTGTCTCAACATGATTCAGTTTCAGTTTATTGGTTCTCATGAAGCCCATCATTGCCTCAAGACACCAATCCAACTTCTGCACAATCTCTCCTGATCAGTAGCAGTCCATGGGGTTTGGTAGAGTTGAATGCTCCCCATTTGTGGTTGTGGGGGGCTGTGGGGGCAGGAGGTTTGAGCCTACATGGTACACAGGTGGAGCCAATCAGGTGCTCTTCCAGTGTGTCTGTCTAGTCCTAACCAGCTTTTGTTTGCTTTATCTAATAAAATCAGAATGTTCAAGGCTCATTGCCATCCTGCTTAGTTCTTCAAGCTTTCTTGAGCTATCATTATGCACTTTGGATAATATGCAGTTTTCATTGTGCTCTGTTGGATAGTTTGCGTTACCAGTCCTGGCAATATAATAACCATGGTTCTGGATAAGACCAAGGGTCCATTTGCACCAGTATCTCATTTCCAACCATGGACGGCCAGATAGCTTCAGGAGTCATCAAGGCAATAGCTTTCACCTACTCATTGTTCCCCAGGATCTGATAAGCAGAGGGGCAATGCCCCTCAAAACTTATCACAGTGAAATATATAAACTATGCAAAAGCTGAATAAGGAACTCCTTCTATATAATCCCTTGAAATAACTGGATGAGGGCTTGCTCTGGGTTTCCCTTCCATCAGAGGTCATGGTGCTGTCCACAGATAACCTTATTCTTTTTGTGATTCTCTACCACAAAGAGCTCCATTAGCATCACTCACTGGATTCTTTCAGAAACTCAGATGGAAAACCTGCATCCTCCAAGAAGGTTGGGAGGTGCGGAAGAAGTCATGTCATGTACAGAGCAGAATGAATGAATGAGTGGAAAGCATTAGCACTGCTCATTTAATGTAACAGTAATTTTCGATTTTCCTTTAGGATCCAGCCATATCAGGCAATGAAACTGAACCATATAACACCTTCACAAGTGGTGTTCAGGAGGATGTTTTTATCAAATGGATCAACAGTTCAGACATTGCATGGGCGAAGGTATTGTTGCAAAATATCATTGCCTTACTTGCCACAACCCAAATTCAATTTGATGAAAAGCATAGTTTGCCCCTATGCACCCTCCTACCCAGCCTAAATGGAGTCACTCTTCATTAAATAAAAGCATAGATTGTTTCCAAATGCATACAAGAATTCCGTGCATCTAACTCTACATTTCTTCCTTTCCCACAAGGTGTGGCCAGATTATCCCAATGTAACTGTTGATGAAAATGCAAGTTTGGAAGTTCAACTGGAGGTACTTAAAAAAACAAACCCCCCAAAACCCCAAACCCAGTTTCCTCAATTAACTCTCAGTGGTTACAGAAAATCTCAGTCCTGATCATTTCTTTTTCAAAACCTCTTGTGGCCCATGACAATAATGGCATATACCCACAACAGGGTTCTTTGATTGAATTCATTCTTTAGAGTTTAAAGCATATAGTTTGTCAAAGCAGAGAAGTGCAGTGCACTAACTGGAGTTACTTAATTTGCCAGGCTTCCTCCCAGTCATCTTAGGTGAGGTGTTTGCTGTGGGGTGTGTGTGTGAGATAGAGAGAGAGAGAAAGAGGGGTGGGTGGGGGTCCAGTGTGAATTTCACTGCCTAGAGTTGCCTGTTTGGCACCAGTTTTAAAGCTCTTTTCTCCCGGCTTTCTCACATAATATTTGAACACGCTGTCAATTGCTTTATTTTTATATTTGTATTCTACTTTGTTTTGCAAAGCCCCTTGGAATCTTTGTGAAAGGGGTGGTATGGAAATATTTTAATTTTCTCCCTTGCTCTGTGTTTTTATCAGCTGTACCGGGCTTATGTCGCTTTCCCAGATTTCTTGCGCAGTTCCACATCGCAGTGGTGGCAAAGAGAGCTAGTGGACTATCATGCCAATGTACTCAAATACGATGGGCTGTGGACTGTAAGTATCACATACTGAGAGGTTTCCCTGCTGCCTCTCAGTCCAAGCTCTCGATATCCCCATTCAGAAATGGCTGAGTCTGCTGCTGCATTCGGTCCTGCCACTCCCAGATGGGGTTTGCATTGCTCCTGAGTAGCACAGCCTCACCATAAATTGAAAGCATTCTTATATGACTTTCACACTCGTGGAGAATCCTGGGATCTGTAGTTTGTTAAGGGTGCCAGAAGATGTAGGACTTTTCCCCTAGCATGCATAAAGCTTGGAAAGTGATTGCCACGCCCATCAGAAATATACCCTCCTTCCAACCCAGGAGGGTGTAGCTCTTCCCCTCTCCTTTTCAATTGACCTGGCACATCCCAGAGTAGTATGAGTAGCCATTGGGAAGAAAAAAACCATCACAAGGTTTCTCAGCACACTACTGCACAGCAAGGAAGAGGGAGAAGGAAAGAGTCAGGCTTGTTTCTTAATGTCCACCAACGTGCAACTAATATTCTTCCAACTGGACAGAAAAGTGAAGCTAACTGGGGCCGTATGGTTTAGAGAATGCAAACTGGGAGGGAGGTGTTTGAAGTGAGCGTTTGTGAATTTCTGCTCTTAGCTGAAGCTTGGAAATGCTCACCAGCATTTACAGAATGTGCTGTTTTTTATATTTTGTAATTTCAAACTATATTTTAGGACATGAATGAACCATCCAACTTCATTGATGGAGCTGTTGGTGGCTGCAGGGATCAAGGCTTAAACAAACCTCCCTATATGCCAGGTAAGAGTAGTTCCTAAAACACACAGGTTCCCTTGGATCAGTGAGACTTAAATTAGGAATAATAACCTTGTCCCATGGCTTTCCATTCATTCATTTAATACTCACTTTAGAGGATTTGAGATTACATCTCACTAACTTAGACTTGTGTTATTCAAACCACCAAAAAATTCTCAGCTGCTTTACATCTAGTTTCGCTTAACGTATTTGTTGATTTGTCACCTCTGTGTACTTCCCTTGAAACAGCACCAGAAACTTTACATTTGTTCTAATATTTCATTTCAAAAATAAATTCCTCCTTGTAAGGTTATCTATTCTCAACCTTTATAATAAGTCCCATTAAACATCTAAATAAATTTTATAAAATAATTATTCCACACAATTGCAGACTCCCTTACTGATTGCCTTGACGTACAGATGAGATCCTCTAGGTTCTCATAGTTTATGGAGTCTGCATGTCTCTTGTCTGCCAATAGAAGTGAGCTTATCTCTTATATAAGAGTCCATTTAAACTGGAAAACCAATATGGATGCAAGAGTCAAGCTGAATTAATGGTGCTGTCTGTTGCAAATGACTATCCAGCCCTGGACATAAGAGGAAAGGTGATAATATAGGTGGAAACGTTGCCCAAGACATTTTTGCTGCTGCAGCCTGGACTATATATATCCTTCGTTCTAAGAGAAAATTAACATGTCTCATTCCCTTTGAAAATGGCCCACCTCATTGTGTGGTCTTACCCTGTCTCCTTGTTAGCCTTGGTTTTAAGAGAACGAGGACTGGATCTTGTGACGCTGTGCATGGATACTGAACAGCATCTGTCTGACGGAACACCTGTGAGACACTATGATGTACATAACCTGTACGGATGGTCTCAAGCAGAATCAACTTACTAGTAAGATGTTTCCCCTGTTTCATATTCTGGAAATCCTGCTTTCTTTACACAAGATGGTGTTGTGACAGTAAAGGTGTGCCACACCTCACATTCTGCATTTTTTTGCTAGCATTTTTTCATCGACATTATCCCTTGCACTCTTGCAGTGGCAAAATGGTAATCCATGTGAAATTGATGTTGTGCATTGATGCCACAACTCACCCTTTAGATTGCTATAGGTTGTTGTGGGGAGGAGCAGGGCAAGTTGCAGCAGCCGCTTTGAAATCCAAACTGAGTGGAATCTTTTAAGTAGCATAATAATTCAGCATGCAACGCTATATTCACGCGTGCCTTTTTATCTTCCTATTAGTGGTATGCGCAACGCCACAAAGGAACGTGGGATCATTATTACCCGTTCAACTTATCCCTCCAGTGGACGATGGGTAGGACATTGGCTTGGCGATAACTATGCAAGATGGGATCAGCTTACAAAATCTGTGATTGGTAAGGGGAATCTTCGACGTTATCCAATGTTTGCCACAAAAGTGTCTGCTCTGCTTTTTTTTTAGTAAAGGGATGGAATCTTAATTGGAGTGGTGGCTCCCAGCATCTGCCACCTGTATCATGTTACCGGCAATGTCCTCACTCAACCATATTGGGGTGTGTTTTGGTGTCCCACCAGTATGTCCAGTGCAAGCTGCCACCCCCTTCCTTCAATTTCCTGAACCAATGGGGATGATTTAAACCATTCACTATGGCAGGAGCATGTGCAGCACTGTAACATAGTTTCCACGATTTCCATCTGGCCCCACAAACCGTTGTACTTGCAGCAGAAACTGGAGACATTATATTAGCATTCAAAAAGGATCCTGAGAGCATTGGTCACTTCTTTTAAAGAGACAGGTTGCTCAAGAAAATCCTATTGTGCTTCCTTTTGACAGGTATCATGGAGTTCAGCCTCTTTGGAATCTCCTATGTAAGTTCTGCTCCTGGATCAAAGTCTTTGAAACACTTTTGAATAATCTAGTGTGGTGGAGATCATTCTAACCCCATTCCCCTTTCCATGCTTCCAGACTGGTGCTGACATCTGTGGCTTCTTCAATGACACAACCTATGAAATGTGTGCCCGATGGATGGAACTTGGAGCCTTCTACACCTTCTCAAGAAATCATAATGTGATGGGAACTAGGGTGCGTCTACCTGTTTTGGCAGTGTCTTGCATGCAGTAGTAAAGCGACTGTAATACTGTTGGTAATCTAAAAATGTATGGTTAGTTGCTGGTTTAGACACTCACCCCTCTTCCGATTTCCTACTCCAATTTTCATTCCTCCCTGATGAAAATAGAGCAGTGAGCTGTTCTGGATGCTGTGTAGCCATGAATTCTCAGCCCTGAATTTTCTCAACCCTGCAATGATGAGTGGACATGTGAAGGGAAGAAAGAGGCTATGTTGCTCAACATTGCAATAAAAACCAGACTGCCTCCTTGCTACTCACTCTCCAACATTACATATTGGCTGTGGTTCTGTGTGTATCCCTAACCGATTCCAAAAAAAGTGCAGCTATCTGGTGCCACTCCACAGAATGGGGCAGCCACACTAAAAGCCCTGTTCTGAGTTAACCCTAAAGTGGGAGGGTTGTAGGCCATTGCAAAATGTGAAAAGTTTTGGTGTGACAGTGTTGTAGACCTGCGTAACTTCCTTGGCTCTGCCCCTGCTCCCAGCACTGATATAACATGCATCTGTACATGTCTGATATGCCACAGGTGGCACAACAAACCGTCCCCACTCACTGCCAGCAGTCGGGAGAGCACACACATTTGTCTAGAAACACAGATTTCCCTAGTGATTTACACAAACACAACCTATGGGTAGTTTGGAGGGAATAATGACCCTGGGTCAGTGATGGGTGCATTGCTTTGAAGGTTTCAGAAAGTGGAGTTCTTTCAAAGGCTGTAAGATAGAAGTATCATCTATATTAATTAATTCCCAAAGGATGTTCCATTTAATATTTCATTTACCTTGTATTTTGTTCCAAAAGCAGTTGATAGAAGGATTTCTTTACTAGAGGTTTCACCCAGGTAGAGATTAGCATCCAAAATATTTCACAACTCCCCCCCCCCGGCTGCAGCCAGACTCATACTAAATCTACAAAATGCAGCCAGTTTATTATGCTATTCTGTTTGACTCAACATATGTTGCCTGCCCTGTATTCTCTTATATGTAATGATGTGAGTTTTCTATGGAAATTTGAAAGCCTTTAGATTGATACTTACTGGGATTTTCTTCCGGGGGAGGGGGGGAGAACAGGGCAAGATATTCTGCAGCCTGAATGAATTTCTTATCTCTTTTACAGAGGCAAGATCCTGTCTCCTTTGATGAAAGATTTGTAAATATATCAAGGGATGTGCTCAGCATACGCTACAGATTGCTACCCTATCTCTACACATTGATGCATAATGCCCATGTCAACGGTGACACTGTTGCCCGTCCTTTGCTGCATGAGTAAGTGTTAAGTGACAACACACTGTGGGGGATACTGTTGTGAAAATTTGTCATGGGCTCAACAAACCAATACATCTTCCCCACCAAGTCAGAAAATATCTCAGGTTATGTTTTAGCATAATTATTGCTTTGGACCCATTGCTACAAGCCTTTAAAGTTTAAACCATGGGTAGGCAAACTAAGGCCCAGGGGTCGGATCAGGCCCAATTACCGTCTAAATACGGCCTGTGGATCAGTGTGTTTTTACATGAGTAGAATGTGTCCTTTTATTTAAGATGCATCTCTGGGTTATTTGTGGGGCATAGGAATTTGTTCATTTTTTATTTTTATTTTAAAAAATATAGTCCGGCCCCCCACATGGTCTGAGGGACAGTGGACTGGTCCCCCACTGAAAAAGTTTGCTGACCCCTGCTTTAAACCTACACATTGCCCTCTTCCATATCCCCAAACATCCCCAGAAAAATCAGTTAGGGATGAGGGAGAAATTACGATTCAATTCACATTTAACCGTGATCACACCTAATTTGCACTTTGTGAGACTCTTCCAGTATTGGCAGGTTCCTACAAAATCTGTGGAGGCAAAAGGGATATAAAGCTACTACCTTGCTGCCCCCATCAACCTATGGCCAGCCCAAACTATTTCACTATCACCACCAAATACTTAGTCAACCACCAAGAGTTCTCTGTTTTCTTGGCAGAAGCATTGCTGGGGAGAACAAAAAGAAGTTCACTCAGGTGCTTAAAAAAGTCTTTCAATGCTGGAACTAAACAGCTTGATGATAACATCTGGCAACGCAGCAAGGCTTCTTCCTATCTTTGGGAGAAAAGTGAGCTGCGGTTTTTAACATTCACCTTGTAGATGGATGCAAATTACTACTTTTTTTTCAAAGTGAAATTAAGAAACTCACTTTCTCTCCCATATCCCTGAGCACACCTCCCCACCCCCCTAGAATTAGGCTGTTGGCGTTTTTAGAAGTCATGTACAATAACTTGTGTCATCCATCTAGTGAGCTTGCCAAGGTTCAGTGAAATGAATAGGTTTGGGAACTAAACCTGACTGAGGACTGGTACCAAGACTTGACTCTTTATTTTTGAAAATCAGCTGAAATAGATTCTCTGCATCCCAGTTGGATGTCTCGTTACATCAAGAAGTCCATTAAAAAAAAAATAACAAAATTGGGCAATGTTTTAGAACTGGAATTGATTTATTATGTACTGAGACTGCAAGTCTGATAAGATGAAATAACCATGGTTTACCGTGTTTCTTCAGGTTTGTGGGTGACAAAACAACATGGGACATCTACAAACAATTTTTATGGGGCCCAGCATTTCTCATCAGCCCAGTACTTGACCAAGTAAGCCATTAAATAACACTGTCACTTATAAACGGAATGTGTGTGCATGCTATTTTCTGCTTTGTCTTCATTTTACATTCATCTCTTTAAATTCTAGGGTGCTGTGACAGTACATGCTTATATACCAGATGCCCGGTGGTATGATTATCACACGGTAAGCAGCTTAATAAATCTTGTCAAGAGTAACCTCAAATCAGGTGATAAGTTAGATGCAAGTTTAAAATGTCCTATCCAATCAGGTTAGCCCCTTCCAGGCACTGGGCCAGATATCAACTAATCTGTGCCACTAGCAGAAGTTCTCTCAAGTATTTGCAATTGCTCAAGAGGGATTTCCCCCCTCTCTTCCCCACAAGGCAGCCCCTGCACCTCCTCCAAGTCTGCTCTGGGGTAAGGTAGGTGCTTGGGAGAACTGCCAGAAGGGAGAGGCAAGATTGTTCTGTCGGCAGATAAAAATGGTTGTGCTGATGGAACGATCTCCTTAGCGCTTTGTTGAACTCAACTAGCAGGCTAATTTCTACAGATCATTTCAAGGATACATAGGTGCAGTGCTTTTTTTAAAAAAAATGTTTAGGGGTACTCTCATTTTGACTCGAGAAAATCACCATTTTATAGTTCAAATCGGGGGAAATAGATACAGTAAATGGACAAAAGTACAAAGAACATTACCTCATGTTACACAGCTGACAGTCCACAGTCACTTCCACATTGACATGAGGTTGTGTGCACTAACATCTTCCTACTCATATTGAAATACTGTCCCTCAATGAAGCCAAAATTTCATCAATAAAACACCACACATCCACATTTCACACTGCTTCACACATTAAACGTTCGCTTCCGTCTGAGACTCAGGAAACACCGGAAAAGGAAATGAGGCCGCCATGGGGGATAGCAATGGAACTGATGATTCACCATGCTAGAGAAGAAACTCTCTCTCTATATATACACACACACACACACACACACACACATTTTTTAAAAATAGTTTCTTCAAAATAGATTCACAAAATGTTTAGGGGTATGCATCCCCCTGCATCCCCCCAGAAAAACAGCACTGCATAGGTGACACAGTCAAAGTTCAATATCTTGAGGAATTTAATTGCACGTTCCTCTTCCGAACCATATCTTTAATGCTCAACTAGTGCCCATCCTTTACAAAGTGGGGAATAGAGGGTTTGGTTTTGAATGGAAGCCCAGTGAAGGACAGGAAGACATAAGAAGAGCCTGCTAGATTTGGTGAGCGTTTCCTCTAATCCAGCATCGTGTTCTCACAGGGGCCAACCAGGTGCCCATGAGGAATATTTTCCAGCTTAAACAGAGGACAGAATTTCCCTGTTTGTAAAATACACAGAGAAGGAGAAATTCTGACAGGTTCGACAGCACCGTTTCAAAGTTCTGCTTTTATGGTTGTAGGGGAAATATATCGGAGTGCGAAGACAATTCCAGGACTTGGGTGCACCTTTGGAGCATATCAATCTTCATATCCGGGGTGGCTACATCATCCCCTGGCAAGAGCCTGATATTACTACCAATGCCAGGTGGGTACAATTTCTCATGGAATGAACTTGAATTTTATGCAGACTTAACTCCGCTTTATCAGTAGCTGAAATGGTTGATCTCAGGTGATCAGCCATTCAGCTATGGACCTTCAGTGTGTGCCTGCAGATCTTTCTCACTTTCACAGTAAATGGGAAGTTCCTTATGTTAGGTGGGGAGGTTCATGGGCACACAGGAGCCCAACACCCACCCAAGAGGTTTCTTGGACAGTCTTCAGAATTCTCAGAATTACTGAGTTGGGAAAGGACCTTGGAAGTCAATCAGTCCAACCCCCTTCTCCATGCAGGATGCCTAGGAACAACACAGGAACATAGAAAGCTGCCTTATATCAAGTCAGACCATTGGTCCATCCAGTCCAGTGCTGTCTACACTGTCTGGTAGTGGCTGTCCCTGGCTTCAGGCAGACGTTTCCTACCTGGAGTGACTGGGGATTGAACCAGGGACCTTTTGAATGCAAGGCAGATGTTCTACCATTGAGCTGTGGCCCTTGCCCTTTGCATCTACAAATCAAATCAAATTGAAGCAATAGGCATTTCCTAAGGAATGTTTTCTACTTCTTTTCTTGTACCTTTTCTAGCCGGAAGAACCCTCTGGGGCTCACTGTTGCTTTGGATGATAATGGCAATTCCCGAGGAGAACTTTACTGGGATGATGGAATTACAATTGGTAAGTGCCGTGCCAGACAGGAAAGGCCCCAGATTTGGGGACTACAGTGGTACCTCATGTTGCGAACTGTCCCCATTACGAATTCTTCGGGTTACGCGCTCCGCTAACCCAGAAGTAGATGCCCCTTGTTGGAAACTTTGCCCCAGGATGCAAGGAGAAATCGCGCTCCAGCGGCACGGCAGCAGCGGGAGGCGCCATTAGTGAAAGCGCACCTCATGTTACGAGTGATTTCCGGTTACGAACGGACCTCCGGAATGGATTAAGTTCACAACCAGAGGTACCACTGTAATTTATTATGTATGAACTTGGTACCCCATCCTTCTTCATTAGATTATGGGGTGCTGCTATCTCATTTTATTCTCACAGGACAAAAATTTAGTGAAAGATAGTGACTAGCCCAAATTATCCAATGAGATTTGTGTCAAATTGGGTTATGAACCCGTTCCAATATGCTACTGCCCACTCTGTCTGTTGTTCACCCATCAACCTGCTTTGTCCATCAATGTACAAACTCTCGAACTTAGTTTACTATTCTGAGAAACAATAGTAATATATATTTATACATATATTTATTTTGCAGATGCATATGAAACTGCCAACTACTACTTTTCAACATTTCAAGTAACGCAGGTAGGCTTATTAACCTATCCCTCCAAATAGTTTAAGAAAAGATGCATATTCCTTGTAACAACAAATACATTTTTGCACTCAAGTTTTTCATTCCTCCTGCATACCTTTCCTTATAAAACAATTTCTATATAATTCAAACATGCACATAAAACGTATCTCCAGAATGCATCTCTCCATTGTAGAACGTTGGCCTGGATTCAGAGATTCCTAGGCTGACAATATACAACCAGAGGAGATTTAACAGAGACTCATGTCACACATTTTATTTGAGCATGCCAAAAACAGCTCTTTGGACCTCAGTCATTGCTCAGAGATGATGTGAAAGATTTGTCTGTAGTGCTTGATAGGTTTCATGCATAAATGTCATCACCCGACGTGCAGCCTTTGCAAACTGAAGATAAATGTGTGAACTTCGGGCTACTTGCACATGTGCAGGTGGTTGCGTTAGAAGTTGGAGAGTGCTGATGGAATCTGTCTGGAGCATTTAGGGTCCATTTATTAAAAATACAGCCTCTTTTCCTCAATTTTTCAGAATACATTGACTGTCACTGTGGTCCACAACAATCTACCTGATGCCCTTGTCTTAAGAATGGGTTATCTGCATGTCTGGGGAGTCACATCCTCAGTTACAAGTGTTACTGTTACTTATGATGGGCAAACAGAACCAGCTACCCTAGAATATGATTCAGCAAACCAGGTAAGTCCAAAAATATTGGAATTATTAGTGAAAACATTTTTTTTTTCCTATTCATGTTGCTTACATTTCCAGTCCTCTCAAATCAACACAGTATTTCTTTCCACTTTACATTCTAAGATTTTCTTTTCGCTCGGTATGAGCACAAAATATGCATACAGGCTCATAATAAAGATTTCAAATCTAAATCCAAGCTAGAAGAGATGCTAATATCTGACAGAAATGGCACCACTGTGCCTAAGAAATGTCTGTATCTTTTGGTGCGCAGTGGGCGCATGCTTCTTGAAGGTGAAGGTATGCACTGGTATACTGGCGACCTATACAGAAGGGGCGGGGAGTATTCCCCCCCAGCTTGAGGGCCACATTCCTTGATTTGGGAGTGATGAGGAGGAGTGTGGCCTGGCGTGATGACGTAGTCTTTGAAAACTCCTGAGGGGAGATTAGGTGGGAGGCATCTGGCCTCCAAACTTGAGGTCCCCTCCTGCTGCTATACAGAATATTAGCGTGCTTAATCCAACTTGGCACCTTTCATGAAGCTGCTTATACAGGGTCTATGAATAACCTCCTCTCCTGGTTTTGGCACCGTAGCATAAAACTTGATAGATGGGGCTGGGGCAGAGATCCTTGAGGAAAAAGCTGGACTACAATATAGTACACAAAGGAGATGGCAGAAATTGCATCATTTCCACATCTCTGACAATTGTGTCGATTTGCAAAATAGTCTGAAACCACCGGCAAGCACATCTTGTGCATCTACGACATGCAGAGAAGAATGTACAGATTCTCCTATGTCATTAGATTCTAGAGACCCTTGGTTTGGTACCACAGCGTAACCAGGGGGCGCATAGGAAAGATACCCTCTGAAGCTGTGGACTGAGAACCATACTTTCCTTCCTCAATCATCATTGTGGCAACTTTGCTTTTTCCCCTCCCATCCTGCCCGGTAAACATATAGGATAGAAATCAGTGTCGCACACTTCCAGTTGTTCCATCTGCATGAGCATTTCAGCTTGTCAGGTGGGACAAGCCCTGCTACCTCCCTCCACAGTTGGGACCCTCTCAAAGCCAGTTTTGAGGGAGGAGAGGGGGGTATGAAGAAGTCCTTGTGCAGAGCTTCCGCTGGTTAGGTGAATCTTCTTCATCTCCTGCTGCCACATTAGTTCTGCCTTCCACCGAGACCCCAGTGTAAAAGTGGTCGGCATCATTCCAAGCAATAGGCCTAATTGCCGGTTCTCCTGCAAGTAAATTCATCAAAATCCTGCATTTATATCCTTCTGCTTTACCTCCATTTTGCATTTTTGTTTGCTTTCCTTTCATGTCCTGCATTTCCCAATATTATCACTCAGCTAATTGCTAAGTGCAACAGAACTTCCCGGGAAGCGTGCATTAGTCATCTCTGTAAGCCTGCTCCTTCTTCTCCCAGCTCTCATTTTCTGCCTCTGATAAAATGCATCTCACATTGGGCTAATCTCTCCCTGCTCTTCCTTTTCTCATTTTCACTGCCAGCCTCCTTCCTTCTTCTGCTGACCTTCGGCTGCTATCAGTCTGGAGAAAATGCTTTCAAGCTTCTGCTTCCTCCATCTCTTTCCCACCAGCTTTAGAAGGCTAAAATATTTTCATGCCACATGTCCATGCAGTAATTTAAAAGGTATCTTATCTTTCCCTGGCCCTCTTCTTTTTCTATAACAAGAGATGTTTTTAAATGAAATTGAGATTATCCACCATACTATAGCGATAGCTAAATCTCCCTCTTTTCACACCTCACATTTGGAATTGGAAGCAAGTGCTTAGTGCGGGGAGAGATCCTAAGTTCTGACTTTGAGAACTTTTTTTCTGGCACTCAAAAGTCTGTTTCCAAGAGGTTTAATTAAAGCTAAAGATTTATTTGGGTTACAGTGTCCTGTTTTCAACTTGAATAGAACCATTTCTCCTCTTTTGTTTAACCTTTGATCATCCGCCTACCTTTGAACTTTTGGATGACTACCCATTCCTTGTTATCTTTGTCCCATTTCTCCCTTCACACTTGCATAACTTTACCTTATAGAATAGAATTCTTCCCAAATCAGTCAGGATGGTTCCCCTCCCCCCCCCAGCTTTTCTTTGCATCGTCTTTTCTAACTTAGAGCAGTGTTCTGCTGTACAGACCTATTAGTTTTCAGTGACAATTATCAGGGGAATTGTGGGAGGGGGACACACACATATTTTGAGCCCAAGCTATGTTTCTCACAATTCAGCTATGATTCATCATCATCATTTTTAAAAGCTTCCCCTATGTGGCGTATCACTGATGGGGGAATGAAAGATGGGAAACACAACAGTCTTTTTTTTTTTTTTTTTTTTTTACAATGAAAGCAGCCAAGTTCCCTTCCTCTCATTCAGAAAAAAAATTGCCAGCATTGTAGTTCTAATTACTTAAACATGTTTTTGTATGAGGTTTTGACTAATATTCACATTTTTTGGAGCAGAGTTTTGACAAATAGAATGAATATTTGCATACTGTTTTCACAAATTTTGTGCACATTTTATGCTAGTAGATGCATTTATGTACACACTACTTTTGCTGGAGATGTGCATTGCAAACTTTGGAGAGGTGCACATTTTGAAAACAGCTGTGTTTTCATTTGCATATTGAGAAGTGTGAATTAGGTGGTTTTCTCATTCAAATGCAAACAATATCAAAATTCTCCCCCATCTTTAGAACATCTAGTGCAAAGTAGAAAGAATGTGCTTTCCGACAAGCCTGAGATCTTGTGTGTTGCATTTTATAATAATACCTGCATGTATTTGCAGTGAGTGTCATTTTGCAAATGTGTTTCGAAATCCTTCTGAGAGACTGGCATTGCTTTCACAAATCAGGCATCTGTGGTTGTAAGAATTTCTCAAAATAGCACTGAATTAACCCACCCACCCCTCTTTTAATCTCTCCTATTCAGATACTAAAAGTGGATCTCACCAGCAAAGATTACCTCATTCATAAATTAGCCCAGGTCAGATGGGTGACAAGCACTTAACTGTCTGCAGAAAACATGCTCCATGAGAACCTCGCCGTGGCTCTAATGAATGTGTATTGTAATATATTTTAAAAAACTGTGTTTTGTTATGTTAGCAGTAAACAAATGAAGGAATGGGTGGGACTGAACTGTAGTTAAAATATAATAAGGCATTTTCATTTTTTTTAAGGCAAACCATTTTTGTTGTATCTGACAACTCTAGAATACTGCTTTCGGCCTTTAAAATGAGAAGGGATGTTTATTTCACTGGAATGCAGGGGTAGGGGATAAATTTGTAAAATAGGCAGTTGAATGTATTTAATATATATATCAATTATAGCAGTACAATCTGTATGTCAGGAATCACATTTTTGGTCTGTTTTGCAAAGGAGTTAAAATGCCAGTATGATGCCTAACATGATGAACTATGCAATTGTAGTTTATTATGATGTTTATAAATATCTCTGCAAGAGTGTGTGATAAAATGCAACAGAGCATTATTATTATTTTGTAAATTATACTAATGTGACAATAAAACTCCACCGACAATGTACATAGTTGCACGTGTAGATTTTGTGTGTGTGTGTGTGTGTGCGCGCGCGCGCGCGCGCACATATGTATAGACTTTAGTAGCGTCACTAAGACTTGGATTTTCCGGCTGATAATACTCACCTCACTTTCAAGCTTCATATACTTTTGAAGCTCAGTTTCTAATCAGAGCTATTGATTCTTCACCCTTCCTCCCAGTCCCTAGATCTCCTCTCACCTATCCAGCAACTTCTACCACATGCTCCTACCTCACTTATGGGACTGGTACGATGGTGCGATGACAAGTGGGGGCAGAATAGGAGACAGATCTTCTCCCAACCTGCCCACCTACACCTGTGTTGCAATAGTGGCAAGACATAGCAGGGAAGTATTTCTTCGCCTCACTGTTCAGCACCAGGTCCTCAGAAGTTCTTGGGAAATGTAGTTTTGTAGCCTTATTGGAGTTCACCGATTGGGTCTGCTTTGCTCTGGAACAGGAGGAAGGAAGTCAAATGACACCGAGTTGGTTCAAAGAGTTTATTCTGCTCTCCGGATAGCAGAAGGCACTTGCGTGGTGAGTCCACAGCAAGTCCAAAGAAATGACAAGTTTCATGCAGTATATATATCCTCCAGGCACCCTCTCCCTCCTCCCCTAGGAGCCCAACCACGTCAGCCTATGTACGCAGGTTGACATCACATATGTTCCTCCTCTGGTACTCTCAACCATATAAGGATCTTCCTTCCTGTACTTCTGACCATAAAAGGATCTTCCTCTTCCTACTCTTATCTGGGAAGAGGTCATCATCTCCGGGAACACGCTTTTGGCGTTTTCCCCGGACATCGGTCTGCGCGTATTTTGTGGTCAGCACATAAGATAAGGTACTGACGTGTTTTCTTTGTTCCCCTAGAGAGCCAGGGTCATCCCTTGCCGTGACTGATAAAGGAGAAAGCTGTTTATGCAGCTGTGTCCTTATTATGCTTTTGCTCAATAGCTCAAGTTTTACGCATTTTAAAATGCTCTCTTTTGAAAGAACAAAAGGGGGGGAGGGTTGAGTCAGTTTTAAAACTTACTACACAGAAACCCATTCCTTCAGTTTCATTACACAGCCCCATCAATATTGTAAAATGTGGATGGAGATCTCTTTTGGCTGACCTGCATACATGGTTTGTGATCCAGCCCGTGGTTCTCGATGAGGAATGCTGCTTATGTGCTTGGATCTGCCAGGGGTTCTTTAGATGTAATTCTTGCATTGCATCTAGATGACCATTTGGTTCCTTCCAAGTCTACAGTTCCATTTTTCTACGAACTTCTTATTGCATCTGCTGCACAGCTAACATTGAATCACTACTAATGAAATGGGTCTTGTGCTCACTTTAAAATAATAGAATGTTTATAGATTTGTTTGAATTGATTTCCTGTGGGCTCAGGGTAGATTTCATCAATTCTTTTTAAAAAAATGCAAAAACTTACATCGCTAAAGGGATCAAAATCTTGGTAACTGAAGACCGAAGGGAATAAAGGACACTCCTACTCTCCAAAAATGAAAAGGAGAAAATAAGTGGTTTGATAATCACTTCTGATTCTAGAGCTCAAAGTACACTTCAGACTTCATTTTGTGATTTAAAGCTCCAAGCATGACCCCCCCCCCCACTTTTGCCTTGGTGCTTCCCCCATGAAAACACGCTTGTTACTGCTTAATTGGAGCAAATGGCAGTATGAAGAAAACCTGAATTGCCATTTGTTCCAATTCAGCATTAAAGAGCAGGTTTTCCCAGGGAAAGCAACTGGGGGTCAAAAGGGAAAAGACATGACAATGTAAAGTGTGGACCTGTTTCTAAAGGCACGAAAGGATGTCTGGGTGGTCCCTCAAGACACCTGCAGCCAATGACCTCTATGACTGCATGGGGAATCTGAACCTTGGTCTCCCCAATTTGCATACACACCATGCATTTAAAGCACCCACCCAGGAAGCCCAGTTTACCCCTCACAGAGCTACATTTCCCACACCGTTAACAAACTACTGCTCCCATTAATCTTTTGGAGGGGTGCACTATAAATCTATGGTGTGCAATTAGCCTTAGTAGAACACTCCGATTCCTGCATAGCAAAGCATAGAATGTATGTGATCAACAGTGGTGGGGTTCTCCCAACTCCCCTCCTCCCCAGTTTTTTAATGCACACCTTGGATGCATTACAAGGCAAATTCTTGCTTTATCTCTGCCTTCCATCAGCCACCATATTTCAAGATAGAGGGGTGCCTCTCTAAAATGTGGCAGAAGAGTATAGAAAACAGTCATAACCTCACCCCCCCCCCTAAAATTCTAAGCCGAGAGCAATTAGTTCAGACAGAAAATGCTTTGAGAGAGATACTTCCACAAGATTTCACTTGAGATATAAATATCAAAGAGCAATGGGCAATTATGGAGATATTATGTTATCATTAAAGGCATTTCTCAAAGAGATTATATTAATGCCCAAACAATTGCACTGTCAGACTTCAGAGTTGAGAAGATTATTTTAAAATACAATATAACTTACAAAATATGGGCAAGTGAGAAAGAAGGTTGGCCAGACAACTGTATTGAAAGAGATTAATAAAGAGATTTCTCCAAGACTGCTAGTAAAATCAAAGGGAAAGATGACTACAGAATTGAGGGAGATTAAAACACTTGCTGTGAGTGATTGTGGTTAGATAAAAGAAAATGGACATAAAAAACCCCAACTGGCCGCAATCTTAACTTTCTGCCCTCATGTCAATTTGATTATGACTTTAGATTAACCAAGGAGATCTGTCAACTTTTTAAAACATAAAGGCTCTTGAGGCCTTACATACTTTTATACATGCACCTATTCAGGTATCCTTCGTTTTAAGTTGGGTGCTGGCTCAACTTAACTCCACCAGAAACCCATGGGGACAGGCAATACTTTCAAGTGGCAGATGATATGAGAATTCCAGCCCAGAACCCTATGTGATACTGCAGTGAATCTGGAATGAACCTGTCAGATAAAGGTGATGCAAACTCAAGGAAAGACTTGGGATTGGTGAAGCCAAACAGCTCATCAGCCATGTATGGTAGTCCACTTGACAAACCACCTGATTTTATTGCATGACTACTGCACTCAGGTGATTGCCTGAGTGACACAATCCATGGCTGGTGGACTGTATCAGCGGTGGACAATGGGCTCTCAAATGACAGTGCTGCCCTGTGCAACACTAAAATTTGGTTCCCTCTACAGGGTGATGCCCAGTGTGGCCACATTGGTCACAATACTGTAAAACCGCACCTGGCCGCATTCAACGTGGTGAGTCACAACTTGTGAAGGTCTTCTCTTGAAACAGCAAAATGTCCTCAGCTGGCTATTGTTTAGGGTTGCCATATTTCAAAAAGTGAAATTCCAGATACAAAAGTTGAGTTAGGTGTTTATTTTTTTTTGGGGGGGGGAGTTAAGTTGCTGGACCTCTTAAGACGTTTCTGAGCTATTTTTAAGTAAATTCGCCAAAACTGGATTTTCCTGGACATTTTAACAAATTCTGCCCAAATCCTGGCTATGTCCAGGAAATCCTGGACGTATGGCAAGCCTACTATTGTTAAAAGCATCCGTATGACTGGAACAAACTGCCATCTGGCTTATCTCTTCCCAAAAATGGTTGCTTTCCCTTTTGGGGTAGGTGATCATTGCGGCCTGACATGGCTCCTTGGGACCCAGGGGGAGAGCGATCCCTCCGTCCTTTGTGGCTGACCATTGGCCTCAGCTGCAGCTAGCTGCAAGGGACGTCGGGATTGCCTGCCCAAATTGCTAGTTTAAATTGTCCAGTCATGGTCTTCTAAGCTGGCAGGGCTTCAGCAGCAGACCAGAGGGAGCAAGGCTTCACTCTGGTCCTCTGTCTCTGCTCAACCTGGCTGCATCAAACAGAGCGGTGACATGAGGAGGCTCCATCCAGGGGCCTGGCTGGGAGCACAACTCAGTAGAAGAAGAAATGCTTTTTATGCAGAAGGCCCCAAATACAGTCCTAGTGTTGGTGCTGACCTTTAAAGCCCTAAACGGCCTCGGTCCAGTATATCTGAAGGTGCGTCTCCACCCCCATCGTTTTACCTGGACACTGAGGTTCAGTGCCGAGGGCCTTCTGGCAGTTCCCTCACTGCGAGAAGCTAAGTTACAGCGAACCAGGCAGAGGGCCTTCTTGGTAGTGGCGCCCTCCCTGTGGAGTGCCCTCCCACCAGATGTCAAAGTCAAAGAGAACAACAACTACCAGACTTTTAGAAGACATCTGAAGGCAGCCCTGTTTAGGGAAGTTTTTAAAGTTTGATGCATTGCAGTATTTTAATATTTTGTTGGAAGCCGCCCAGAGTGGCTAGCGTATAAATAATAAATTATTATTATTATTACTAGACATCTTCTGGTGAGTTGGGTAAAGATCCCTCTCTGAAACCTTGGAGTGCCATTGCTAGTCTTGTGCAAACTGACTTAGATGGACCAGTTGCCTCAGTATAAACAGCTTCCTATGTCCTGACACCAGAGCTATCCCTTGCCGGGACCAGAGCTGTATCCTGGAATGATACTGTGTAACTGATATCTGCTCTTGACTGCTCTGGCATAAAGGCAGTACAATCAAACCTTGGTTTTCGAATGTCTCTGCTGCTAAATGTTTAGGAAACCAAACGCCGAAAACCCAGAAGTGATCCTCGGTTTTTGAACATTTTGGAAGTTGAACAGACTTCTAGAACAGATTGTGTTTGAAAACCGAGGTTCCGCTGTATCTAAAGACATGTAAAATTCATTTCCCCATACTTGTCTTGCCCCACTTTCCAGAAACAGCTGGAGATCTTCAATTCCTCAGTCAAGACCCAACTTAAATCTGACAACACTTCTGACAAAGCACTACATGAAATGTGTGCTAAGTGTCCACTTAAACCATAGAATCATAGAGTTTTGAGGATGGACGGGATCCTGAGGGTCTTATAGCCCTGAAATGCAGGACTTTTTCTCCCAAATTGGGGCTCAATCCCACATCCCTCAGATTAAGAATAT